ATACACTGTATATAGGGCAAGACCAGTAGCCTCTCCCAGAGCTTTGCGCTCAGGCAGGCTATCTCTCAGTCCAAGGATCTGTGATTAGTCTCTCAGAGCAGTTCTCTACCTACCTTGCTGTATGCTACTATCTCGCCCATAGCCAATCGGACAGACCTCGCTGTGTCGGGCCGACAAAGCGCCATCATGATCGCGGCCAACCAATCAACGCCCCTATCGTCTGTCGGTTCTCTCGAACCCTTAACGACTCAGCTAGGCCTTGACAAGTGCAGCGGTACCGGTGCGGCGGTACTGGTGTATTGGCTGCACCAAGGCCTTAGTTCGGTGCAGTTGTACGTGGGGCCGACTGCACCAAGGGCGAGGTTCGGTGCAGCGGTACTTTGGCTGCAGTGCAGCTGCACTATAAACAATACAAATATTGCCTAATTCGGCTTATCCCGTGACTTGTATATGTTTTGTTGGTTACCAGATCGGCGGTATCAAGCCGAATAGGGTAATTTCTTGGCAAAATCTGGCCTTGGCAGCACCTGGCTGCACTACCAAGAGGTGCAGCTGCACTAGGGTTCGCTGCACCGGGCAATTGCACCAAATTTCTCGAGGTACCGCTGCACCCCACAGCACCGGGCAATTGCACCTAATTTCTCGAGGTGCAGCTGCACTTGTCAAGGCCTAGACTCAGCCTCTTTGAACTGAGACACGGGAGCAATAGCGTCACTTTTTTGCGCTTGTTCACAACAGGCAAGAGCTTCCCTAAGTGCCTGCCACTTGGAAGCATCGGCTCCGGAATCCATCATTAGTCACAAAAGAGAGCGAAGGAAGCCCCGCGTCACTAGAGTGATCGACGACCGCGGCAACTTTAGACGAGGAAGCAGGCCACGAGCCTCGACAGCTCCGCTTAGCCTCTATCTGAGACTATCTCCGTGGTGGCACCATGATTTGCCGTGTTAAAAGCTCGATTCCGCGACCTAGTCATCAGGGATGTCAACAGAGCAACACCCCATAAGGTCCCCAAATTTAATTAAGCTCCCTGGATCCCCAACCGATTAATACTACTGGAAAAATGGTTGTTTCCCCACTCCAAGGTCAGGCCGGTCCGGAGCACTATGATTGTCCTGTGAGAATAGAGTTCCGGACTGTGTCTTCGTAACTCCTAACATTACATTGATAAGGGCAGTCCTGCCAATGCGAGTGGGCACTCTATTCTAACCAGATACGAAAATCTCTGTGTGCCTGCCTTCGTGGATGAGAGCGGTGATAGGGTGAGACCTCACTGACTGTGCTCCATGACTCAACTCGAAGGCCCAGTGGTTGGATAGATACTTACCTGGAAAGTGAGTCCCTTTGTCTATCAAGGTTGCCCTGTGACTAGGCAGCAAACAAGGGTGCTGACCAATCGGGCTGCCCGGGGCGACTTTCGACCACGTCGCCTATTCGCCCGACGCCGGCGGTCTTAGCTGTATAAAGAAGCAGGCTCCCCACCAGGCTAAGCGCTGAGATCCAGCACCGAACCTCACCACGCCCCTACTCAGCACGAGAGTCATATATCCTTGCCCGCTAGTAGCAGCCAGGATCAAGCACGCTGCTTCCCAACATATTAATATCTTCATTTCCCAGAGGATTAGCGCCTGCCACCTTCCCCTTTACCCTCACCAAATACCCTTCCAGTATTCTACGCGAGTTTCAAAGGTACGAAATCCCCTTCCTCCCATCTTTCTGTCTTAATCAGCCCTCTTTTGCTCTTCATCTTTTTTTTTTCTCGCTAGGGCTAACTACACCACTCTATAAGATCATCGCCTGATCCAACTCCAACATGAAACCCCTCACCTACCTCTCCCTCCTCCTCGGCATCTCTACAACCACTGCCCTCGGCGCTCTCCGCTTAGACGCAACCCCCGACGAGGTCGCCGCGGCGAAAGCCGAGTGCGGGTCCCTAGGTGTGATGAGGATCGACCCAGCAGAGCTGCCCGAGGGCGTTACGATGGCCGACGTCCGCATGTGCGCCGACCATCCCCTCGGCCCCGGGGCGTACCCGGGTCCGGGTCCTGGTGCTTTCGCCAGGTTCCGTCGGTTCTTGCCGAGTTGGGTTTTTTGAGAGGACGGCCCGGGAGTTGGGTCGAGGCCCTGTAGGTAGTCCGGCACGTAGGCTTCTTCTGCTCACGCGCGGGCTAGTTTTTCATACCCGGTCTGGTTGCCTGCGCTGTGCGGCGGGAGCAGCCGTTTGGGAATGGAACTCTTGGAGATGTATGGTGTTGTTTGATGTTGATTTTTGGAACAAGCTCGATTGATATGGTCTAGCTGGAGGATAATATTCAGATATGACAACGTATAAAATTCAACGATAATGACGTTTTAGCAGTTTCTATTAAGTAGTAGATTAACTATTTCTATATCGGCCTAGTAATCACTAGCCCGCGCAGCGCATATAGAAGGGTTGGTCTGCTGTTCCAGGGGACAGACATTGAACTGTTCATCCATAAGGAAGTGAGAGAGCTAGATATTTCCATTTCATGGTGCGTTACAGCTACTCCTCCTCCTCCTCGTCTTTGCTGCCGGGCAGTGGACCGAAGCCGTACAGGATCACAATAGCAGGGCGATCTTCGCTGCTCCCCGCGATGATATCGATATCGATTTCCTGGCATATAATAAGTGAACCGCCACCCGAAAGAGCGATTTGAACATACTTCTCACACTTACATATCCGTATCTCTTTCCAACAGCTCGGAACAAATCTTTATTGTGGACTAGGATTGCTAATAATCCGGCCAGGGGAGAGAAAACAATAACGTAATGCTAACAAAGGCAACAGGTAATGTCTTTTATGTACAATAATTAGGTCCATTCTCGCTCGCCTTGCTTAGTTCACAGTGCTTGATCCAGAGGCCAATGTCAGCAACGAACCTGCGCGCCGCGCCAATTTTCACGCCCTGTTTGACAAAGAAATCTGGGTTTTCGCCACAGATTTGCTTCAGATTAAGGCAGTTGTCTAACGCTATATCACAAGCTTTCTTGATATTTTCCTTAAAGCTCTCGGTACCTACACGTGATAGATGCCAATCAGTATATTCCTCGACCGCGACTTCAAGTAGCCGGGAATATCAATGGGATCAAGAGGATTGGCTGGGGTTCATTCTTGGGTCATTCTTGGAGTTGACTCGGCGCTATAGGAGGAAGTTATCAAAGGTTGAGATGACTGTGTCGGGAGAACATGGATATTTATTTGTGGGAGCATTGATGTAGTTGCGGTGTTTGGGGATTTATTTTGTCTTAACACTCGCTGATCCTCTTCTGTATACAGTTGTTTGCGCACGTTGTCAAGAATGTCATCATGGGAGCCTACGACGCCTCCTTGCTCGGCATATTTAACAAGGGCTCTCAAGTGATGTGTTCTGAGTCGGTAATGCTCTTTCCCTTCAAAGTCCTACCAGTACTGACCCTTATGCTGACAAAGTGGCCTAGGGCATCGCATTTTCCGATACACGTCTCGCTAAACCGAAGGCTGTCCCGAAGAGACTTCGGCATCGATTTAGTCATCTAAATCATGGAGCATTCTGTTTGTTACTGAGGAAGTTCCTCTTTTATCAGTGTTCCTTGGCAGGGTGGGTGTCCTCCATATAATTAATAGAAATAGAAATCCTTAGTTTTTTGTGGCACTTGCGAAGCAGATTTTGCCACCTTTAGAGCTGCTTATTTATAGCTGTCTAGTCAATATCTGTCTTCTCGAAGCGTTTCGTAAAATCGCGCTGTGAGCGATCATTTACAGATACCGCAACTGCCGTATCATCAGGCCTCACGCGCCGGTTACGGGCTACTTTCTGGCGCTCAATATGCTCGGCCTTTTGTTTAATCCCCTGCTAGTATAAACTGGGCGTTGAAACTAGTCTTGTTCAGTATCCTTTGCTAGGACCCGGTTGTTAAGAGTCACTTTCCACTCAAATCACAAACGGGATATAAGATGGATGTTCGTCATCTGTTGATTCATTGTCCGATTCGACGTCATGAAGGAAGTTTCCGACCGGAATGGGATTGAGGTAGTGGGGTGGAATACCCGCCACCGACATGGTCGGGCGAAAATCCATATTCAGATGGCGTACGTTCACGACCGAAGTCACCAGGAGTAGGTCTGCATTATTACCATCATCATCATCAAGCATCCGATCAAGTTCAGATGCTTGTGGGAAAGCTGGAGGCGTAAGGCTTGAAGTATTGTTGGATTGATAGGTTTTGATACGTTCTTTAAGGGTATCGCGGTAATGACCGGCCTATATCTATGTATGTACTTCTGTACTTTATAGTTGAAACTGGCAATTAATTCTATAGCTTCCACGTTGATTTAGAGTAAGTACCTAAGATCCTAACATCCTCGTAGAAAATACGGAGTACATTGTAATAGATTCTCGATCAGAAAGACTGGATGGGCCCCTATATAACGGTGGTTCATTCGGGGTTGCTTCTATCTACATTTTAATATCACTATCATCACTCTTTCACAATGGACAAACTCCCCGGTCTCCCTAACAAGCTCGGACGCAACAAGGACCGACAGTACCTTGACAAGGGTGAGCTTCAGTGTCTAAAATCTAGTGCATTAGATTTCAAGTTGACCACAATAGACATGAACGCCGCGGAGCAGAAGCTCGGTGGTGGCCAGGGTGACCCTGCCAAGAAGGTCACTGATACTGGCGTGAACAGTTGGACAAGGTTGGGTACGTTTCCTCGCAGGACTCTCAATGGAGTGAAGCCGGTGCTAATTCAATATACAGAAAGGGCGTTTCCGACAAGTTCTCGCGGTAGACACATGATGATCGGCTGCTCTACCCGGAAAGACTCACGTCGAGAGGCTTTTCTCATGTGTGCCAACTTCGAAAGGGAATACTCCTCGCGGGTCATGAACATACCTACATGTACCACAATGAATATGACCGAATAATGAGCAATATCCCATTGAATCTGGGAAAAAAAGCAAAAGTTGTATATCAAGGTATAATCATCATAAATCACTGCTAATATCTCTGCAAGTTGGACAAAAACCCTCCTAGGCCCGACCCTAGGCCCCGACGGGTGTACATGGTGTTCGCCCGACACAGCTGAAGCTGAATATTGATACGCTCGGTCGCTGTTGACTCGGTGCGCATGTTCGCGACAAGGCGCTCATAGTATTTCTGGGCGGGTTCGTACTCTTTAGCGCTGAAGTGTAAATTGGCTAGCAGCTCCAACGTGGCATGCGTTTCGGGGTTGTCTTTGCCTTTGCGATGTTCAACCCAGTTCAAATATCGCGTCAACCAGGGGAAAGCTTCCGCAGCACGATTATTCGTGAGTAGACCTTGAGCATAGCCATTTTGCAGAGCGTACATGACGCCAATGTTGCCCACGATATCCATTGTCAGCGGATGCTCGAGCCCTAAGGCTTCTTCCGCACTGGCCAGAGCCCGGCGCAGGGTCTCTGAGGCCTCCATACTCTGCTGCATAAAGCTTTGTGCTCGGCCGTGGAGACAGAGAGCGCGAATGGTAGACGGGTGTCCATGACCCAAGGCAGTCCGAAGCTCTTGGTAGACCTGTGACAACATCTCCACCGCTCGTTGTACATCGGGCTGAAACCGCATCACAATTAGGGTGGTTGCGTCCCCAGATTGGTTGCTAACCATATATTCCAAAGCGTCCAAAACAGAGCCAAATACACGAATGTGGGTTTCCCCAAGCAGACGCTTTAGGGTGACTGTCAGCTTTTCTGCAGTCATGACGGCATTTTCCCGGCGACCTAGCACATTGTAGGTCATTCCTAGTCGGCGCCGAGTGTCACAGGTGTCCAAGTGGTCTTCCCCGATAGTCATTTGTTGACGGGCCAATACGTTAGCGCAGACCGACTCCGCTTCTTGGTACTTGCCCTGCTGACACAAGACCTCTGCAATCAAACTTTCGGTCTTCATTGTCAGAGGATGTTTGGTCCCAAAGACGCGTTGGGCGTTTTCGGACACCCAATGGCACCATTCATTTGCTTTCTCTAAGTAGTTGGACTCCAGTTCCACTTCGGCTAGGTTGTATGCCACTGATAGTGTACTGAAATGATCTGGACCAAGGCTGCGCAAATGCTCCTGAAAAATCTCATATTCGATAGTTCGGGCTTCGTCCCATTTAGCCCGATTCTTCAGTTCTGCGGAACGAATAGATCGTGGGTCATTATCCAGAGCATTGAACATCACTCCTGTCACCCTTTGCGCCGAGGGAGATGGACGACCCTGCCCCTGGTACGGCGTGCTACTGTTCGAATGAATGCGTGGTGGGACTGGCGGTGGAGAAGACGCGGCATTTGGAGGAATCGATGGAATGAAGCCTTGTTCCGACAAAAGCGCTTGATCGACCAATTGTTTGATGTTCCCTTTTATCAAACGGTACATAGGGCCTCGAGAGCCCACCTTGCACATCTGTGAGTGATCTGCGTCGAGCTTGAGTTGGGTTTCGCGTAATCCGGACAATCCAAGAACCGCAGATTCTTCATCGACCACAAGCTTTTCAATATCAGCCGCTCTTCTAGGACGAAAGGATGCGAAGGATGGGGGAACTGATAATTCGTGAAGGAAAATCTGCTTACATGGCTGATAGATGCTGGTCCAACTCCCCCTATCTGCACCTCCTTCCCTTCGATGAAGCTAACAACACGATAATCTTCTAGTTGATGTCGGAACCGATCGGTCATTTGTCGAGTGAAAAGGGAATTATATTCCAGGCAGTCTAGAAGGTCATTGCTGGCATGGCCTTTGGAAACAAAGCGGGCAACTCGGGCTGCAATTTTCCCCAATTCCACAGCCTTCGCGCCACGATGAGGTGTTCCGAAGAAAACGAGACCAGAGGTTGCCGAACGAATGGAAGTATATTTTGGATCTTCTTTAGCATTGAGAAGTGCCTATATCATCAAACCAACTAGAACTGTTAGGAAGAGGCCGTAGGAAAAAGGCGGGGTATTTATATCTGACCTGTTTGATCACTAACCCCCCCAAACTATGTCCGATGAATATCACTTTCGGTGGAACAGACCCCTATGAAATGTTAATTGAGTACTCAAATGAAGATTTCCGGGTCCTATGCTTTACCATCTGGGGGCTGCGTTCCATATCTAATAGGTTCAACAGCGTATTCGCATGGTCCTTGATGCTTGCCGTGGACATGGTCTGTGGATGGGTGATGTTTGAATTGTATCCATAAACAAAGACGCGCGCATATGGAATGTCCTCGGCCAGGAAGTCCCTCGGCCAAAACTTGCCATTACTATGCGTCCATGTCTGGAAAGGATGATCATTGCGACCGCTTGGATTCAGACCATGAACGAAGACAAAACTAAAGAACAGATTTGTCTTAGAAGGAATTTCCGGTATGAATATATCGGAGCGTAGTATTCATACTCGACCTTGTGCGATTCAAGAGGAGAGAAGACCTCCTGCAAGAAGGGAAACTCATACTCCCCCGTATCCTATACTTTGTTTAGAGTCGTGCCTGGCCATAGATATGCATAGATGGAACCCCAGCCTTACCATTCTCAACACTTAAGCAGCTGTGAAAGAGCTATTTTCAATAGCAAAGAGTCAGAAACGGCTTCCGGTTTCACGAAAGAACATACTCAAAAAGAGAGAGAGAGAGAGAGAGTGGGATAAGAGCGAACAACACGAAGCTGACGGGCTGAACATGTGACTACTCGCCTGGCAGTGCTTGGCGTGAAATGAATAGATCGTAAACATTGCAGGTAATTAACCTTGAAATGGAATTAGCCTAGGTCCAGACCAATTACTCGAAAGATCGAGTTCGGTAAAAATTGCCTAAATTGTTTGGTACTTCGTGACTTTCCCTCCAATGGCCGTGACGGAGGACCCTGTCAGCGGGGTTATCCGGCGCGATGCATCACACCTGAGCACACGCATGGCATTGGTGAAATATTGAGGCTGGGTAATGATTGTAAGGAGGAAACCAATTTCCATGTTACGCCCGATGCCGATCTCCATCTCGCTCAGCCCCCTCTTCCCTCGATGACAGGCTTCGTAAACATGGCGCATGAAACAGGCTTCCGCGCCATGCTCCGTGTGCAGTTCGTAATGCAACCAACGTCCACAACAGCAACACAGCGCCACTTAAGGTCTTCGGATGTAAAGTTAGTGTGATTTACTTGGAGAGTAGAAAAATGGAAAAGCATGAAGGACATACGGTGCCGAGGACTTTGAAGAACATGATGTCCATTTCGAGACCCAATTCCATAGTGTTTGCGGCATATACGCCAAGCGGAAAGGTAAATCCCCACCAACCCATGTTAAATGGAAACGGAGAGGTGTATAGAACGGTAGCTAGGGCAAACAAGAGCCAAATCAAGCCGAAGCTCCACATGAGGAGGGATATGAAGACACCCAAGACATATGCCATCTGGCCTGCGATAGGGTCCAGGAATTGGGAATCCTGCAACAATACCCGTGCCACTTTCCCAATGTAAAGGATGCTGGCAGCGTATTAGCCAGAGTCTCAGGGCGGGGGTAATCTGCGATACACTTACCCGAACCCACCAAAGCCAAGAGGTCCCAGGGGTAGAAAACAGCTTACAATCAGCTCCCTCGGTGGAAGCTTATGCACTGCTAGTCGCTGATAATAGATTACCAATACCGCAATGGCCAACGGAGTACCCATACCCCAGAGAATGAATGAGACGAGGAGTGTTCCCAGCGCATGTTGTTTGTCTGGTAAGATAAGAGCGACCTGTGCGCCAGCACCCGCTGCCACAATAGTCGCTGCGATTGGCAATAATTGAACCGCAGTGATCCGATCTAGCGAGGTGATATAGCTCTGAGATATTCTGATGAGATGTTAGTGTCTTAAACCTTGGTTTGTGCAGGATTGTAGACCGACAAAATGAAGGACAATGACAGAGTCACAGAAGCCGCAGCTATCACGTCTATCATCCATAAAGCCCACGCAAGTGTCTTAGCCCATTCGTCCCAGATTGGCACGCAAATCAACACCCACATCTCAATGAGTGTAGCAAAACCCATCGGGATTGTCGCCAAGAAGAGCGAATTGGTCGGGTCTTGGATCATCACATGCCATATTTCAGGATATAAGGTGTATCGAAGAACAGATGTAATAAAAGCTAGAGTAAATAACGCCAGATTGAGTAGGAAGAAGACAATCGACAAGTAATAGAAAACTGGAGTATCGAAAGGGATCGATGTCATCAACACCGAAACAATGCCAGTTCCCATAGTCACCGCAAACCATCTGTATATTTCTATCAGCACAACCCGGTAGTCTATGGAGAGGGAAGATCGTACGACGGACTGAAATTCCGCACGATGCGTCTCCATCCTGCGTTATACTTCACCGGACCATTACCGCGGAGTAGTTTAGATGACTTTGCCATAGGAAATGAAAGTCATGAAATGGCGAGAATAACCTGGGAGAGAAACGGACGCATTCTGTAGATCAACGCTTGTGGCACCAGTCGGCCGAGTGCGGAAATCGCCGAGATGCGCGGAATTATCTTCATACTATGTAGTCAGTTAACTAGTTAAATATGTACGTATACTTACCTTAACACGAATATACCACTTAAACCAAGAAACTACACTTTATCAATGGAAGTAAGAAGCTCAGTCAACCGATCGTATTGCAGCCTAACATAGAATGGAGGGGGGCAGATTACAGAAAGAGAGAGACCATCTCTCCTCAAACACACCTGGCCTGGATAATCAGGCACCAACGCACTTCAATCTAAACCACTGGCCAGCCGCTTGAGAAATCGATCTGATTCCACCCAAAGCGTTTCTGGCCATCAGCATAGCCCACAGTGGTATCGACATAGTGGTAATAAAGCACCGGGCCGAGGGTAGGATCAGTGAATATGCCCCTAGAGAAACGTTAGGCCAATATTCGAGTTTGCAGTACGATCCAGTTCGAGAACTTACTGTCCACCAGGACCGTAGACTGTGCCATGACTTTCTAGAACAACTGTGCCTCCCCCGCTTGTACAAGCAGTACCGGCTGCATCAACCTGTAGGGAAAAAGTTAGGGCGAGTGTCCAAAGAGGAAAACGTTGGGTAACATACAAATCCGCTAGTAGGTGAGCTCGATCGGCAGACCTTGATCTTGTATTCTGCTCCGCTGGCAGGGCGAGATGTATCGTAACCACAACAGATGCCGGCAGAGTAAAAGAGATAGTAGTAACTTCCATACTTATACATATAGGCCGCCTCCACAGCGTGTGTTCCAGAGGGGTCATACGCCAGATTGTAGGACGAAGATGCGACTTTGGTGGCATCCGATCTCATTGGAGCCTGGTAGATGTCGTGCCAAAAGGAGCCGAAATTCATATAGTAAGTACCGCCATCATTGAACAAATTGCCATCAATGGCGTTGTATGCCTTGGCAGATGTCGAGGCAATACCAGTTGCTCCATGGTCAGTCCAGGAGCCAGCCTCCATGGTTGGAGATGTGGCTAGTCCAATGGCTGAATTCTGTGAACCAAACGTCGATACAGTGTAATAAACATAGTATAGACCATTCACAAGCTGTGCATCGGGGGCCTAACATGGAAGTCAGTACCGAGCATGTTTATTACCTGCGGACAAGCTACGCAGAAAGGATAATGCTTACCCACAGATCATCATTTCCGGCGAGATCAATGGAAGATCCACCGGGCAACATTGACCCAATGGTAGTCCATGGGCCGTTGATAGATGAGGCGCTAGCATAAGAAATCTTGCTGCCAGTAGAAAATCGGAAATACCGATTGTCCGATGATCTTTGTATCAACGTCGGGTCGTGGACAATGCAGGCCCCTGAACAACTGCCAGGGTTTGCATATCCGTGCACAAGGGCTGCGAACAGCACCGGATTGATGATATTACCAAAATGCATCGAGGGGGATAATGTGTACGTTGAACGAAGATGGATTAATCTTCATCACTGGGCCGCCTATATGTATTTGCATACTTTGTTTCGCGAGGTGATGCATGGACCATTGGTGGAAATTCAGATGCTTTTCCTAACAGGGCACGGATAAGGAATTTTCTTCTGCAGCGAAGATAGCCTGGATGCGACACGGAAGAGAGGGGCCATAAACCAGGCGTCCGAGGGCAAGAGCCTAGAACAAGGAGAAGAACGTGTTTGAGAAAGTGAACTAGTCGTGGGAATTAGAGGACCGACTGGTGGGAATTGCCGAAAACTATACGCGCCACCATGCAACAGAAACACGCCAAGTTCCGGGGAATCCCAACTCGACACAAAAATTGTTTCGTCACGGATAAAAGGAAGTGCGAATAGCCGAAGAATACCATAATGTCGAGTATAGTGATATTTTTTAACCAAACCGAAATCGCTCAACCTTCAAGTTTAAGCTTGGGGTGTTGGATTTTATGCATGGCAAGCTCTACTGATACTCACAGCAAACTAGCCGTGACTCTCGTGGAGGCCTCGTCCTGGACATGAAAGGAGTCCGCATCCGGCGCATTAAGCGACCGCATGTCACCTAGAGGGGCCGACCCCACATTTTCTCCGGCGGCAGTGTTATTCATAACGAGGCCTACGAATGTTCACAGCAAACCAGCCATGACTCTGGTCAAGGCTTCATCCTCGGCGTGAAAGGCGTCCAGCGCATTGGGCGACCGCGTGTCACCTGGAGTGGCCAACCCCACATCTGCTCCGGCGGTAATGTCCGAACCAGGTTGAGGGTCAAAATAGAACCCACCAGCAATTTCAAAGAAGCTACTCAAGTCCTCGCAGACTTTGGATTCAGGTCCAGCTACTGTACCAGGTGACATTGGCCAGAAAGCGTTAGATGAGAGATGAGGAGCAGTTGTCTCAGATGTTTGATGGATGCTAGGAGTACAACGTGCAGCAGCAGACTCTGTTGTAGTTGATACTGGCGTTGTATCCCAGGTGCCGCGGAATAAGTACGACTTATTTTGGGATGCAGCATGCGAATGAACCTCAGATATCTCTTTCTCATCTCTAGAACCCGCCTTTGGGGGATGGCCTCGATGGATGGATGATTGTCGGCCAGCTTCACTATCCCACCTGAGGTTCAATCGAATCCGTTTCAAACTGTGGAGGATCTTTTGTAATCTCCGGGAAGTACGGGCACGTGTTGCTGAGCGGCGAACCATGTCGACAGCCGTATAAAATTCCGGCCGGCAAGCGTGGCTGAAACGCGCTGGCGCATGTAAAACGGCCAAGAACAGTGCGGCAAGGGCAGATAACAGAAAATAGTTGAATGGCTCCGGGCGCTGGAAATATATACTCGAGACCCGACTGAAATAGTCTAGCATATGAACGGTGCTCTTTGCTGTTTCCACAGCGGTCGAGGCACCGGTCATGTTGTCCGCTATCCGCTCATCACTAAGCAGATTTTGTCGATACACGAGAATTCGAAGCTGGTTTGCTTGCAGAGCAAGAAGAACCTGAAGCATCATGGCTCGATCAGTGTGCTCTGATCCAGCGGGAGAGCGCCAAGTTGGATCAAAACGTAATTCACGCGGAATGGAATGGATCCATTGCTGAACCTGAGCGTCCAAGTAGGCGCAACCATCTGATGTAGCCTCTTGTGACCGGTTGGGCCATCCAACGACCAGGCCCCAGATCTTTGTGCTCAGGCGCGCGTGAGAGATCATGCAAGTCAGATACGGAGTAGAGTGGCCAGGCTCAGGCAAGTTGGTGTCAATGTCCGAATCTTGAATGGCGAAGGGCAGACCCGTGCCAAAGGCACACTTGCGATCTAACACGTATATGCACCAGAACAGTCGGCTTGCCCACGTCCATTCCAATTCGCCCGGGAAAACGCCTCCTGTCTTTTGCCACGTTTCTTGACGATGAAGACCTAGCTCCGTACTCCCTCGAACCGCCATGCCAATCAAACGCCCGGCGATAACTTCATCGTCGCGGTAAGAGTGGAAAATGGACTACCACAGTCAATACATTCTCTTTCGTGAGCACCATGGGAACAGAACAAGGAAGGATTTGAAATACACACCAACAGGGTCAGAATGAGAATTTCTTTCATATCAACCTCGGCAATTTTCAATCGGCTGGCGAAGCGATCCTCCACACTGTCAGCTAGCTGGGCGGCACGCTCACTCCGACCGTGCGATTCGACTAATAGAGCGGTCGCCAAGAGAATCTTTAGAACCTGGACATCACGCGCAGAGAACCAATCCTGATCCGAGGCTGTCTGTTTGGACAACATAGATGAAGACGCAGTGATTGAATTATGGGATCGGTAGAATTCGAGCACATATGCTCGCACTCCATCCAAATCGACACAAGGGTACATCACACCGACTGTGTCCTCATAGACTTGTACCAGTCGCAATGCTTCATCTGCACCCAGGCTGCTCAAAGGATGACCAAGAGGAGTATTTTCGCCTCTCTCCGACGGCGCAGGACTGGGAGCAGTTGTTGATAGGTCAAGGTCCTCACCACGATCGTCAATTCCAGCACAGTCGTCAGCTTGGTGGGATAAGGACCTTTGAGATTGAGCGAGGCCAAACTCCGCACTCGTAGGTCCGACGTATGTCGGGGACTTAGGAGCATCTAGAATACGGTGCAGGCTCCCCGCAGCGGGTGGGGCTGACGGATTAGAGGCTGAAGCAGGACCGGGGGATTCAAGCTCATGAACGCGGGCGGAAAGGGTCCGCATTTCCCGCCGCAGAGTCTCCAATTGCCTGTCCACAGCTTGGAATCTAACATTCGCTCTGGATAAAATCAGTACATGCCTCTTAGCCAATAGACAATATTGGGTGTGACTGGGTGTGACTGGGAATTTAAGGTGACATACCCTTCATCATTGACGTCAGGCCCTTGGATCGACGTGCTAGAAGGGCGATGGGCGTAGACACAAGGGATATGATCACGAGAACATCTGACACAGATCAAGCCACCACTGCATTTTAGCTTGCGTCGTTTGCATTCATTGCTAAGGTGGTCAGTACCAAGCTGTGACTAGAAAACCCCAAACGGATGGGCGGACGCACCAAGCAACTTGGGTATATTTAGCCCTTTTTCTCCGGTGGGATGAATCATCATCCCGTGAAGACCTCGGAGATTCGGAAATCATTGTACAGGCGAACTAATATCGATGGAAGTCATGGCAACGGGGGAGGATGGAAAGGAAGAAACCTCGGAACGCGGAAAGATAAACCGAGATGGGGGCCCGTGCCAGCTTCGGAGTGGAGGACCTCGGGATAGTTATAGGTGAGGTGAACTACGTATACGAAAGTACTTTGCTTCTAAGTATACATGTAACCTTCGATTTCTGATCATCTATTCAATTTTTATGATAGTATAAAGGAAATTTTGTCGGTTCGTTCAACTTTTTTTTATTCGGTATTTAGTAGGCTCGTTGGTCTTTGCATTTATGGCAAAGAACTATATATCTCCTTCATAATGCGACGTCAATCCTTCTTCTTGTTCTATCTTCCTATTAAATATGCGACTTTCGACAGCATTCTGAGTCAGCTAGCCGTGACGATACATTCTTGTTGGAAGGCACATCGAGGGATGGGTTGGCGACAAAAAAGTCCGCAGGCCGGATCATGAGCTGGAAAATCTCGACGGGCCTATTGTACTGAGTCAGTATGATGAAAATAAGAAGAAAGGGAACGAAGAAAAAATGCGATCAACACACATCACAGGCCAATCTTCTACACGAGGATTGTGGGTAATGCCAAAGGAGTTCCAAACAACCACGTCGGTGTCAACAACAGAGTCACCACGGAGAACAGCATCTGAGACACCTTCAACTTCAGTTTGACTCTGTAAAGTATAACGACCTCCAGCATAGAGCTCCCCGTCTCGGTACTTCGTGACCCAAACGTGGTGCTGAGCAAATTGGGCCCTGCGCGCCTGCACCGATGCAGGATCGGCCAATAGAGTCTGAGTGGCCAGTGGAATGAATTTATACCCTACCGGGTTTCCACTGATAGGATTCCTTATGTGAGGATTGATCATATTGATAGTCCGATTGAGCTGTGGAGCGGCATCGATCCAAGATGCACGCTCTACGGTCTGCTTGGTGACTTCATAGAAGTTCCCGTTGGGGTTGGTGACTGCATTCATTGGGACTGGGTGAGATTCCTCCACGATTACTGAGTTGTTGGGGCCATCGATAGCTGGATCAATTCGTACGTTGAAAATGTGCTGGTGGTTCTGAGCGAGAACGCCACCGCTCACGACATTTCCGTACTCACTGACCTTACCAGCATCGATATTGACCACGTTCAATATACCTGTTGCGCGTGCCTCAACTGTAATTCCGCCCGACTGATCGAATTTATAGGCGAAGATATATTCATAGTTGGCCAGTGTGATAATAAACTGGACAGCAAGCTCCCGGTTCCGTGTAACGACAGCGCGTCCGGTGCGCCAGTTGGAATGCTTCCACCCAATTCCATTGTCCTGTTCATGGAGACAAATCGCATTCGGAAGAGTCTGGGCGGTGCCATCTGCCTGGGTAATAATTGCATCGAAATATTTAATGACGCCGAGACAGTCACAGCCGAGCGACAGGTTGTTAGCCATGTTTCCGCCGCCGCCATCGCCAAAGTCAAAGGCCTGTTTCCGGTGGAAAGGGGGTCGAGGGTCAGCGTAAGGGACAGTCTAAACAAGCGAAGCACAATTAGTTTATAGTCATGTGTTTGGGATAACATGTCATTTACCATTTCGCTGATTGCCAGCCGGTGCATCACACTACGGCCATCATACGAGACATCGTGAATCGTTGCGCCCTCTCGCGGATTAAAAGCAACACGGAACCGCCACTTCTGCCATTCGACCAGAGACTCGTTGGTGACTCGGAAGGATGGACCCTCAGGTTGGACCACATTCAGTGGTTTGAGATCTTTGCGAGTCCCGGCGGCCATCAGCTCTGGAACGTATTCGGAGGGCTTGCAATGACCAATTATATCCCGCTTGAAGGTCTGTTCAAGTAGGCCATCACCTTTGCCGCCTGTGGCGGGTCGATCTACCCGGATGATCTCTTGTGTGTGGGCGTCCATCACAGGGATGATGGGCAAGGGGAAAGAATAGAAATTGGAGTCTTCATTTCCGGACCGTTTGTCCTGAGCAAAACAGAGGCCCTGGAAAAAGCGACGATTTTCATCGGTGTAATCCAAGCCACCATACGGCCATGGCTCAATGACGACTTCAAAACCTTCAGGAAGGTCGAATTCCGAGAGTGCTTTCTGGAATAATGGTGATTTCATACATTGATCAACGAGAACATCAAATTCGCTCCTAGACGATCGTTAGGAAACTCCAGATGTGCAAACCCCTATTCTTTTTCTTACAGCGTCAAACTGGCATGATGTTCTTTCCCAACAACCGTGTGCTTCACTCGCGACTGTGAAACTACGTCGATCACAGATTCGTGAAATTGAGGAATGCGGTCCGTTCCGATCACATCGTATTGGCACAGAGCCAGACGCGGGGGTCGTGGAGTGGTTGGGCTCAAGCGACCGGCATGTTCAAGTGCTAGGAATTCCTGGAGCTGAGCTTTGGGTGGTTCTTGTAGGAAGATCTCCCGAAAGTCGATCACGACGTTTGGGTGAGCAGCTTTGACCACATCGCGGGCCAAGTTGGTCTCTTCGATGGAGAGAATACTGAGTGGGTGAGGATGGGACATGACAGGAATGGAAGTCATGGGTTTATGTTTATTGACTTCTCGGACCTGGAGTCTCTCAGTCGACTTATACTAGTTACGTGCTCGGAATCTCGGAAATATCGGAATCTCGGAAAGCTCGGAAAGGAGTTCGTTGCAACAGTGGGGATCCGGAAATGGTTCCGTTATGATAGACAATGATAGACAACGATAGGCAATAGAAATTCCATAAAATGCGGGGAAAAATACCCAGAAATAAGATCTCCGCGTGTGAAGATAAGCAATACGAGTTTGCTTTCCTTACTTCCTATGTACATATGTGGTCGGTAGTATGTGCGGATCATGGCCGTGTACAAGTATTGACATTATGACCATATCCGGGTGTCCCTCCCCCTGATAACCTTATAAGAGGTACACACAGACCTCGGAAGAACGTCTTGTTCTGTCTGTACTGCCTGCTCTGTCTACTGTATGCACGCCTTTAACTTATACCGAATAACCATCATCGACAACCCTGTGAGGAGTGTGGAGCATGGATCCCACGTTAAACCAGGAGACTAAAGTGCCTACTCCGGAGAAAGCCATCAGTGATGAAGAACAACTTGCAGCTCTTGGTCATATCCAAGAGCTCCGTCGTGATTTCTCCCTATGGTCAATCGTTTGTCTCCAAATCTCCCTAATGGCCACCTGGGAGGCGTTGTCCTCGGTTGTTGCTGCGGCTCTTACTAATGGCGGAGCGCCATGCTTGTTTTATAACTAGTGAGTCGTCTTCAACGACACTCCCATACCGGAAGGCTGATTGTGTGTCCAATTTAGTCTTATTACCTTGATTGGTACAATATTCATTGTCCTTTCGTTAAGTGAAATTGCCTCTATCTACCCTACTGCTGGTGGTACGATCACCTACTCTCCTTCATGTATCTACTCAGGTGATACCCAATGCTAACCTAATTAACCATATTCTAGGACAATACCACTGGGTCCATTGTCTCACGCCGGCATCATACCAGGCCACCGCATCTTGGTTTACTGGTTGGATTTCAATCGGTGGACAGTTGGTTTTTTCCGCCTCCGCAGCTTTCGCAGCGGGCTTGCAGTTACAGGCACTTATCACCTTGAACCATCTCGACTCTTATACCCCAACTAGATGGCAAGGTATGCTGTTCTATTGGCTCATCTTGGCTTACTCGACCGCCCTCAATATCTGGGGTTCCAAGATCTTGCCTCATACCAACACAACAGCCGGTAAGAGACCCGTCTCCCACACGTTTGATAGGCAAATCATAGTCTGAATTACGGACAGGTGTATTGCACGTCGTTGGTTTCGTCATAATAGTCACCGTTTTGGGAGCAATGTCCGAGAAGCACTCTGCAGGTTACGTCTTCACTAAATTCTCCAACGCCAGTGGATGGGGCAATGATGGGGTTTCATGGTTAGTAGGACTGCTGAGCACTGTATATCCATTCCTCGGGTACGACTGTCCTACACACTTACAGTGGGCTGAGCGCTGACTATTCATTGCAGATATGATGCAGCTTGCCATTTAAGCGAAGAAATGGCAAAACCGTCCCGTAATGTACCATTGGCCATGATAGGCAGCGTCGTCATCAACGGAGTGATTGGCCTGGTGTATGCGATTGTTCTACTGTTCTCTCTGGGTGACCTAGAATCCTTACTTCAGTCCAAGACCGGATTCCCCTTCATGCAGCTCTTTTTAAACATCACTGGGTCCCCAGCTGGTGCCTCCGTGCTAGCGCTATGCATCACCTTGGTTGCAATGGCAGCCAATGCTGCATGTGTGACATCTACTAGCCGGACAGCCTGGGCATTCGCACGGGACAGTGGGTTGCCAGCGTCTGGATTTTTCGCAGAAGTGAGCCCCACACTGAAAGTTCCGGTGCGCATGGTTCTTGTGGTTGGCTTTCTCCAAATGCTCCTTGGGTTGATCTATCTCGGCAGCTCAACTGCCTTCAACGCTGTATTGTCTATGGCCATTTTGGGAATGTACGCCTCATATGTTTCCCCAATTGTGTTCATGTTGATATATGGCCGACGAAGATCCGCAGCGGTTGCTCGTGGACTTGGCTCGGGATCATTCAATCTAGGGCCACGATGGGGCCCGGTCGTCAACATCGCTGCCATCCTTTGGCTTATCATAGCCATGATTTTCAGCACTTTCCCAACTGTGCAGCCAGTCACACCAGGAAATATGAACTATTGTATTGTGGTCACGATGGGATGGATGTTGATAGGAGGGCTCTATTATTATCTCCTGGGAGGAAAGAAGCGATTTACGGGTCCAGTGGTAGAGCTGGCAGAGGGTGTGTGACTACTTACGGTTGTGCCTTACAAGGGAGTATTAGTGCATTGGTTATGGACGGTTGGGAATTGGGGGCTTTTACGATATTTTGTTAACTTCGGATACTGATTCAAACCTCGAACATGCGCTGTTTCTTTGGCTGTCCTCACTATACTGCCCTGAGCATTCTTGAAGTGCTTGTTGATACTGCAGCTAGATACTCAAGTACGTAAGCGGATTGAAGTCTTCCAGTACCTATTTGTCTAGAAACACAGCATATTATCAATGTCCCTCAAAGTAGGGGTATACCCAGACCAGATACTGATGCCCTGCAATAGCACCAAGGCGACATTGGTATTAAATTAACGCATTCAGAATACCTTGACTCGCCGAAGCTCTGTCGGTTCCAATTCAAAGACTTTCATGTTGATCATACAATAAGCCCATCATCGGCGTTGAGCTATTGACTAGTGTCCTAAGAAAAACACACACATACCGAGGTTGGGGAGTAGTATCTGTGGTATGGAGAGAAGTACGACGAATAAAACCGCGCACGTAATGTAATGTTCGCATATAGACATTCGGAACGTAGTATAAGTGAGCCTACGAGCACTGATGCGAGAAGATGGAACTTGGATACGTGCATGGCACTTGGAAAGTATCATAGCCGTTGAGAACTAAGACCATGTGGTAAACTTAAGAACTGGTTCTTGGCACGTGGTGAGAATATATACAGTGAAGAGAAGGGCTTTTATGGTCTCAATATGCAATCATTCGAGCCTTATATTACCATTTCAAGTTCGAATTATCCACACACTCTTTATCGATGACAGAGTTCCCTCAACTAGTGCCGCATAATACTCAAATACAGTGATTGAACTGTTGCAGCATGTTGCAGCATCCGAAGAAGCTGTTCACCTGGTCTGAAGCTTAGGCTTATCCCTGTTCCCAATACGTCCCCTTATTTAGAACAAAATTCAGATCGGAAGACTTTCGGCCAATACCTATCGAGATCGGTGGCAACCGTCGAGACCTTGAAAGCTACATACATATGTATGTACACTTCTGATATCATCCGCACTTCATCCCTCGCCTTGAAGTATACCACATAGTTACATCATATGCCTTCCAATATAAGAACCGGGAATTAGTAATGTTATAATCCAATTTCCTTTCTTACCACACTGTCAATTCTCGACCTTAAGAAGTGATAAGATATTCATAATGACTACCTTCTCGAATATCGATACCGCTGCGATTCCCAACCAGGGTGCCCACAAGGTTACCGGGGAAGACCCAATTATGCACAGTGGCGTATGTTTGACTTTAACCACTTACGAAAGTCACCGTATTAATTAAGCCTATAGCATAAACTCGGTCTCAAGGTGAATGAGGCTGACGAACGCGACGAATACCACATGAAGGCATTCCCTAGCGGTACAGCCCCAGCAAGCAACTCCTACACCCCAGACCCTGTCCCCGAAGTCAGTGGCCTAGTCAACAATCCCAACGAGGACGCGGAAGAAGGCACGTTCACATCGGCTGGGGATTCATTGATGGGATCCACCTCGGGTGATGTGAACCGTGGCCTAGGCAGACCGATGCAGGGCCAGACAAACATCGAGGTCAACCATGACGGCCAGCACGGTCGCAAGAAGGACGAAACCCGCCTGGAAGGCGTTGGCGCCGAGGTACAAGATCGTCGTATTAAGCGACGATTTGCGGACCAGCGCGGCCTCGACCGAGAATAAACCGGCGTAAGTGGCACACATGGCAACAAGACTGTTCATGCCAGTGCTGCGGAACTGCAGCCCAAGTCTGCTGAGATCCTTGACCAGCAGTGGAATTATGATCGAACGATCAATTGTGGGGACAAAGGGCACCGGGGCAAGCGCCGAGATAGCTTGTTCATCATGCGAAAGCTGCTCTTTCCCCTAATATTCTAAGCGAAATATTGTTCCCGGCTTTTGGGCATCATCTTACCCGTACATAGTTATCCAAGCATGAGCACGCCATTTTTGACTGCGTTATCCGAAGCTTTGATTTCGTAGTCTGATCAGGCAATTCCACTCTCAATAAGCAGGTAGCCCGAACGAGCTGTTCTTTCACCGTGTCTTGTCAAATAGCCCACATAAAGCCCTTTTCTGTGTTTTCCTATTGCGCGTCACGTAGGGATATCATTCGTTGCTAGTAACTAACTCTATTCTTGTCGCATCCTCCGATTACTCCGTCTTTGTCTTGGTATTCTAACCCCTTTTGCGCATCGCTCTCTCCGAGAACCGACTCCCAATGCAAGTGTCGTCTTTTTACATCGTACTCGAACTGCCCTGGCTACATGTTACTTCTATTGATATGCCGTATTGATATGTCTACTAACTACATAGGAACTGAGATCATGAAGTATACAAGCATATTATGATGGTATTGTGGGAGACACGCAGCTATGTACAAGAGCACTACTGCTTATCCTCAACCTCCTCAGTGTCCTGGCCATTGTCACTGCTGAGGCCGAGCTCGTTCTTCTCAGGTGCGGCATGATCGTTGGTATCCAAGCCCAGCTCGCGGGACTGTTGCGTAATCTCTTCGAAAGTGAGCTTGGGCATGTCATTGGCGACCCTCCACGGCATCCGCCCGTCGACATGGGCTTTGGCGTAGATGATGTCGACCTCCTCAAGCTCACGGCCGGCTGTCTCAACGTAGAAGAAGAAGCCGAAAACCAAACCGAGGAAGTTGAACAATGCGAAGAAGAGATACACGCCCCATGGGCTTTGGCCAGCGAAGAGTGGCGTGAACATGACCACGGCAAAGTTGCAGATCCAGTTGGTGCAAGTCGATGCCGCCGCACCGACAGTACGGGTACGGAGGGGGTTGATCTCGGGTGGGTAGATCCAGGGCAGTGGCAAGAGAGTGAATGCAAAGAAAGTGATGAAGAGGAAGATACCAACGGCAGCGCCCTTGGAATTTTCCTCACTCTCCTTGATCAAACAAGCGAACGTGATGACAAAGCTGAGCCCTTGGCCTAGGAAACCAATCAAGTACAGGTTGCGACGGCCAACTCTTTCGATCATGAAGAAGGATGGGATAGTTGCAAGAGCGTAGACGCTAGCGAAGACACCTCCCATGATCAGAGACAGGTATTTCTGCATGTGCAGGTTTTCCTGGAAAAGCAGCGTCGAGTAGTAGATAGCGGCGTTACAGCCGGTGAATTGCTGGAAGAACTGGCCGGAGCAACCGATAAGAAGGCGCTGGAATTCCTGGGTCTTGCCGAATGTGAACACCGTCTTCCAGCCTGCCTGGGTCTTGTTTGAGGATTCGACGTCCGCCTTGAGGAAGTTGAAGTCGTGGAGGACATCGTCGGAATCCGGAGTGGAGCCCTTGAGCTTCGCGAGAACCTCGCAGGCCTCCTTGTCAAGGCCTCTCTTCACAAACCAGGACGGGGAATCCGGGAGAAGCAATGCACCGGCGGCCACGACCAGAGCGAAGAAGATCTGGAGGGCTACAGGGAATCGCCACTGGACGCTATCGCCAGCGTGGGAGAGACCAAAGACCACCCAGTAAGCAATAAAGGTGCCGCCAGCGATCATGGCACCCTCAAAGCAGACCAGGAATCCACGATTGTGAGCGCCGGAGCATTCCGATTGCCAGACTGGGATCGTGGCCGTGTTCATGCCATTTCCAATACCCGATACGACTCGGCCGATCACGAACTGACCGATTTCCCATTTACCCTTAAAGCAGACCGTTGTAAGCAGGGCACCGATGGTCAGGACGTTGGCACCGATAAAGATCAGGCGAGTGCGGCCGAGTCTCTCGCCGAAGAACATGGAGAACAAGGCGCCGAAGAAACAGCCAAGCTCATAGCAGGATGTGACAGCACCGCGGATGACGTCGATGTAGTGCTTTTGCGACGCAGTCGGAGATTCGGGCATTGCGAGGATTGGGAAAGAGCTCACAAACTCATCGCCGTTGAGGAGGCCGGCCATCATGCCTTGATTGTAGCCGAAGAGCGAGAAACCCACAACAGCGGCGATGGTGATGCTCACCCGGAGCGATCGACCACTTAAGCCGCTGGTGGACGTCCACATGTTGACGGTGGGGGCAAACTAAAAGCCGTCACTTTGTGGGGGGAAAAAAGAAAGTTGGGGGAAAAGTATGGAAAGAGAGAAGATGGGTTCGAAATTGAGAGAGGATTTGACTTTCTTATAGCACTCTCCATTGGGGGGCAAGCCAGATGTCGGACTGGTACCGGTATCCTTGGTCCGACACCAAACGGGGAAAGTCCAGCGAAGTCTCTAGAGTTCCCAATGCGGAGAAATGCGGGAAAATCCTTTCCCTTGGCTCTTGGCGGGTCCATGGGTTCCACCCGGGTGTGGGTGCGAATGACTAATTTGGACCGGGAGCCTTGGAGCCCTGGAGACGATTTTCAGGCTGCAGTATATTTCCAGCCTAGATCCAGATCAGGGTAGATCTTTAATATTGCATTCTACCATACTATACTCTATGTACTTCATTACACTCTCCTCGCTTCGACATGACATACATATTATGCGTATGTTGCATTCTACTATTATGCACCTGAATGCACCTGAAGCCGCCAAGGCCTTTCGCCCCAAAACGTCATCGAAAAGTTTTCGCCAAGTCTCTCCATCGGCGCTAGGCAAAGTTTGCCCCAAAAGACTGGACCAATCATATCCAAAGCCTTTCCGGCGCGGCACAAGGCACACGGACCCAAGGTTGTCCGCTTTTGCCGACGCCGAACACGGACCGGTGCAATTCCAAGGTTCGTTTAATTGCCGTTTTGTGTCAACCCGACTCTTTCCTACGTATGTACGCATGTAGTAGGTGGCATCGGGGACTCAGTATCCTCTTAATCATATTAAACAGACGGTTGGGAGTCAGTCATGGTCTCTGGGGCCATCCCCGGACTTTTCTGGTACATACATGCTTAATACATGCTATAACTTCTTGGTGGTGCTTAGCCTTTGTCCTCTCCCCACGCCAAGAATGATAATCCTACTTCTGCCTCCTTGTAATCTCGCGTAGTAGTAATATGGCATGATTGGATGTTTCCCGAATTCCATCAGTAGGGTATGTAAGGTTTCCAGTTCCATGGATTGATTTTCGTATGAGAAACCATCAGTGGATGAAAAACGGGTGAACTTGAACAAGCAATGTGGAATCCTACCCAGGTACGGTATCAGGATGAGACCGTGTAAGCCACATCACATGTTGGGGATGACATCAGTGGGTGTTGTGGAAATCCTCTAAAGCCTTCCGCTTCACAATTGCACCTTGGCGGATCTGGGCGGACTTGGCACTCCGGGAGCACGACTAATTCGGGGAGGAGAGACGAGAGGACAAAGAGTTTTCCCCATGCCATCCACATGGCACATGGTACTCGCATGCGGAGAACTCCGTACAACAATATGTTGCATGTACACTGGCCAAAGCCTGCGGCTCCACTGCAATCTCGCTCGAACCAAGACAACAGTCTCAATGACGTCCCAATGACGTGCCTCGGTAAAATTGTGCACGATATCCACCAGCGATATGAGACAGAGAAAAACCCATATCCTTACCCCCCGTCACCGAAATGGCAACGGAGAGGCGACCAAGGAGATTATGTTGTGTATGTGCCAATGTGGCTATAGCTCTTGGCCAACCAGCTATGAGCAGGCTTACTTGAGCCAAAAAAGTCACCGGATTCTTATGATGTGATATTGAGATGAAAAGGTGCGCCATCTACGCAAGAAGGTTGCTTGCCTTCGGCGGTGGTCAGCTAACAGTTTGGTCTTGATCTTGGTCGGAATGTCAACAAAGGTGATCAGACAGGATAGGTTTGGGCGGTGGTATTGGTGTGCGTTTAGACAGAGCCGCAAGCCACATACCCCGTGCATCAATCAATATGATCTTCGAATTGCGGAAATGGTCATTATGGTGTTTCAGAATTAATCCGAGGAAGACACAGTCAACATACTGATTGAAGGTGGAGAAGAGTGATTTCTATGTGTACAAGGTACTAACCAGAGGCACAACGGAAGGTAAAGCGGAGGGCACCAAAGCAATGTGGCTTGTTCCGTCCGGAGCGGCAGCGGTGCTTGAGTACTGTGTGGAGATTTCTGGTGGCGCCAAGGCCGCCCCCATTTTAACGCCGCCGCCTCTCCCCGGTGCGCCACTTTCGGCGTGCCTCGGGTCGCGACCATAAGCATTTACCATTGGCATTTACCCATGAGCATTGAGGTTCGGCCTTGGTAGATTAGCGGCGCCCGGGTGACTCGCCCAACTCAGCATTGCCTTTTCTCAAACAGGTAAGATATCCGGATGATTTAAATAATCACTGTAACCAGTTAGTTAGTTAGTGTCGTCTCTTGAACTGTCTTCTTCCCCCGCGTCCGCGTCGGCTATCCGGAGTTTTGCCCTGTAGCATGGTTCGGTGAAAGGGGTTTGTTTTGTCAGCGAAAGATCCAAACATAAGAAATGTGGGATCCCAAACATCAATGTTTGCATTAGAAGCAAACAGAGGAAGGTATGATGCTTCAAAAGAAAGACCAGAAACTCCGAGTCCGAGTCATGGTCCGGCATTGGACTTGGCACTCATTTCTACGTTGCATTACGGATGGGGTAGCCAAGACCTCGGGGAAAACAAAGTACTAAGTGACCAATATATGACTAAGTTTGATTTGGTTACCTAGGTAGGTAATTTCAAGCGATTACAGGTATGGCGACAGTTAGGCACATATGTAGAGCATAAAAACTGCAGTGGTGGGAAGGCAGAGTAGAGGAATTTAGAGAGACTCAGTTAGAATGACCCTACCCACATCAGCTGTAACTGTCGCTGACCGCCCTGACCGCCCATTGAGAAACCCACAAGCCGCAAATGGTGTGGATCGCCATTGTCTGCCGCAACCAGAGCAGAAAGTACGTGGCAGTGGGAGATACAACATAGCATTAAAGGAAAGATGACTTGCAATATTGGTATCGCCCCGTGCTGTTGCCATTGGTGGCCTAAGGGATCAGGCAACAACTTCCCGAGTTCATCGTCAGTTTGGCGTTTGAAACCCTTCGTCGACTCTGCTGGACAATTGAATTTCCCACAATCCTTACGGTCTCGACTCTATGCCTCAGACAATGTATCGAAACCGCCCAATGCGTCAAGTGTACTGTAGAAGACCAATTCTTTGAAACCTGTGCACTGGGCTCTATCTAATGTTTCTCCTGAGGCTACGGGAAACTGAGCATCTGAGCGATGAATCAAGAAGAAGCTCTGCGTTCAACCTATCAAAAGAAAGGTCTTTTATATAGGCTAAAAAGAGCAAACAAGAAAGGCTCAGTCTGAAAAACCAGGCATCCATGCATGGGGGATGGGATCATCCAACAGCTTACAATTCTGACTTGCTGCTTCTGGGCTAATATGAAGTCAACAAGCTTCTACCTGAGGCAAGGGTTTCATAAAAGAAAAGCTGAATGTGTACTCCGGGAGGACTACTAGAGCCATGCGAACTTTCGGCGATCTAGCTTTCCTCACAGCTGGTGAAGTATATATTATTCACAACGCATGCTGATGTTCTTTCCGACTAACGTATTCATAAGTGAGCTGCGACCTGCAAACACATAGTAAATGCGATAGAATACAGCTTTATACTTCAACCACTCCGACAACAACTCAGGCACAATGACCTAAAATAATTTAATCCGACCCCTGGCCACTCCGCACCTTCGCAGGCGTGTCTCTTTCTCCAGAGAGGAGCGCTGATGACGAGGTGACGACCGGCCGCAACGGGACACTCTGACGAGCCATCAGAGCCGGCAAATTGACTCGCTGCACGCCGATCTGCCGGATCCAGGTCTGCGTCGACGCGAGATGACATTCATGGCCTTCACGATCTAGACCCTGTGAAAGCCCGAGTATCCTGCCTGGCGAGGTGATTGCAAGAGACTGACGCAGCTGTGCGAGACCTGTGCGGCGAGCGATCAGAAAGAAGAAGGCCGATCCGCCGAGGAAAAGAAGCGCAGTCAGTGTGAGAAATGCCGGGATAGCGTAGGGAAGATGATACCGGATCCTCCTCGACCACAGCACGACCGGTACACGGGGTGTGGGTATTGTCTCATCGCGTTGGGGCACACCGTTCCAATTCAACGGAGGCCGGGGACCGCTGTGCCAGCCCCGGGTGCCTATGACGGAGTTGGCGGCCAGGTCGGTCCAGATAAGGTCGAGCGATTTTGCGATGCCTTCCGGGGAGGTGGACAGCTCGAGCCATCGAGCGTAGAGAGCCAAATCCATGTCGCCAGTGTATGCGCTCATGATTTCATTCAGGCTTGCACTGATGTGGAAAAGATCCTGTAGTGCTCGCGTGTAGAATAAGTTCCCTGGCATGTTGGGCTCTTTTTTCCCGGTAACCGGTACGGCGATTGAAGGGTCGGGGTACCCGGGAAGCCAGAGATGGTCCCGTCGGACTACAGAGATGTCATCGCGAGTGGCTAGTTCGGAGGACACGATCCCCCAGAGCGGCTGCAAGTTGTACAGTGTGTAATTCTGAGCTCGTTCGACGCCCCAGAGCGGCATCTCTGAAGGGCTCAAATACGCCTTTTCATTGATGCTTTGAATAACGAGTTCCTCCAAGCCCCCGGTTCCGTTGTATTGGAACTGAACTTCGCGGATGACTGCTTTGGCCCCAACTGCGCAGGAGTAGATCGGAATACTCCACTTACTGTTGGAGTCTACGAACAGGGAGTTCCCCCCGTCCGTCCTCTTCGGGGCAGCATACACAAGCCCACACGCGATAGCCACAAAGGACATGTTGGATCGGGCAAAAAACGAAGGGTAATGGCAGGCTTCGGAGCCGATGTTGAAGCCATCGGCCGCGGTAATATTGAAAGGATTCGGCCCTGGCGTGTCCGGCACGCGCTGGTCGGGTGTACTGATCAAATCGCCATAATCTCCATTCGTCTGCATGATGGCAGTTCCTAGGAAGCCGGATTCATTGGGCAGAGGAAAGCTTTGTCCGACCCTTGAGTTCATGTATGCAAATGGCGCTAAACCATCTGAGCCGTTCGTTGTTACATTGAAATACTGCATCAGGAACATGTTATGACTCCAAGCCGCTCTGTATGCTCGGCTACGCAGCGCCGGATCTGCCTGGAAGTTGCTTGGATCGACAGTAGGTCTTATATGGGGGAGGTTGGCGAAGCCACCGTGGTCCACTAACACTCGATCACTCAATTCACCCGAACCCGTCTCATTTGCCCGATACGAATAATCCAGGGTCAAGTTGGTGTTCACGCACTGTGCCTCAGGTTCAATAAACAAGATATCTTCTTTCCAGCCCGCGCCATCCAGAGCGTCGACTGGTACTGTATGATTGCGAAAGCCCACGCGACCTGCTTTACTGTCCACAATCAGTCCTTCTACTGCTTGCAGGTCGTTCTCGAGGATCAGTTGTGAGATTGGTCGATAGTAACCCTCAGAGAACGGGTTCCCGATCGGCCCGTAGTAACCAGAAGGCTGCCGCGACGAGCGAAATGTCCGCCATTGGATGTCAAACAAGCTGGCAACGGTGGAGGATACCTTTCCACTTGTAAACAGGTTGATGCTGGTCGGCCAGACTGAGAAGTTCTCGGTTATGTCATTGTTGGACGAAAGATTAGTCGGTGCCCCAGGACAGCCGTTTATCGACGTGTTGGATATCTCGTCTGTATAGCACATGCGGAGAGACCGGTATCCATCTCTCGGTGGGGTCGCTTTTCCAAAGGAAGAGGTATCATGGACGTAGTGAAACGGGACCTCCGTGATGGCGCTGTGTGGTGCAACCGTGTCATACAAACCCAGCGGAGTCACTATTCCGGCTACGCTCACGAGCACCAGGGCAATAAATTGAAACCAGCTATATGCTTCAATCCTTTTGCTGACGCCCGTACCAGCTGCCGTATCGGAACCTAGGAGCGTTGGCCAGGACGACGAATGGATCAGGCGACTGACGACGGACCTTCATGATCATCAGTGACTGCAGATGAGACGAGGGAAATGGACAGTACCATGAAACGATAGACATTTCATCAGGAAGCTGACCGACCACAATCAAGCTGATGATGTGGGGGATCAGAATTCGGCCTCGAGGGTGTCAACGAGTTGGACTATGCTTATTGGCTATCTTAAGGTGCAACATACTCACGAAGACGCCGGCTGCAATGGCACCGGACACAAAGCCCACCGTCAGTTCTGGCATGCTGGAGAGACGAGAGAAGTTCGAATGCACGGTCCTCCCTCAACGGCGGAGGGAGCCGTTGGGTATTAATGCTTTCCTCCTCCCCAAGACATTGGTTTTCCACCGGCTGAGTCACAAACAGCATACCAAGGGGCTGAGGAGGCCGCGCTAGAAGTTTATTCGATAGCAAATGTCGTCTATTGGACCCGAGCCACGCCGAGGATCGACAACTGTCGATCGTCATCCCTAAATACGAGCTGGGTTTGATAGAGGGCACAGTACGGCAGTGCACAGCCGCCAGTGCGCCATATCGTATTTTTCCATATTAAATTTTCACCGCTTTGTATACCGCCAATTTACTATTACCTCCTTCGTACAAATTCTACTAATTAATCTTCCTTGGGTATCAATTTCTATCAAGTTCTATAGTGTCACACTACACAACATCTTAAGTTCTATAATATCTCAACTTCTATAGTGTCGACTTCTATAGTCTTAATTTCTACTAGATCTCAGTTTCTACCAGATCCAAATTTCTGCCGAATCATATTTTCTATAGTGTCAATTTCTACAGTGTCAAATTTCTATTGTTGATAGAATACACGTATACTAATTTTGCGAAATGTTCTGCTGGCAAAATACGATATGGCGCACTGGCGGCTATGCACTGCCGTGGGGCACAGACAGAAATCACCACTCCCGTGGACGGCTAGCCCCTTTAAGTATCTACATAGTACATATATATCTCTTGGCACTCGTATTGAAAATCGAGTCCCATTTTCTATAGTATCCCCTTCGTAAAGGGCACAGGCCCCGAACCAACTCAGCCATATGGTACTTCTATGCTCGGCCCTATAACTAGTGATCCCCTATGTCACCTGATCGAGGACCATACAAAATGAAGCTATTTACAGAGCCCCTGATCTATATAGGGCTGATTTGCTAGGGTTAGCAGAGTTACCCATAAATGAAAACTCCACCTACCAATTCGTATGCAGATAATTCTAATGTATATTTGATTTCCTTATTCCCGGAATTTCTTTATTCTTCCCTATGACGTGTTTCACAGGCGAGCCGCCATCATCTGGTAAATGCGATAGAATACGGCTTTACCTAGGTATTAGGTATACTTCAACCACCACAACTTAATTTGATTTTCATTATTCATAGATGGGGATTAATAAGAATTTTTAGTAGAATATGTCAATTTTGAAGGAATCGAAAACTTGCATTATTGTGGTATCGAAAATTAAGTCGCTCAACTCTAATGCTTTGAATGTGGAGAAAAAATAACCACGTAAAGTAGGAGCTCAAGAATTCGGAAACCCTTCTTTCCTTCTGCAGCTCTCTGCCAGTGAAAATTATCGGGCTCAAAACAACATTTGCCTGAGCACCTTCGCTGTTCTTCCATTTTCCACGAGAGGTGAATGTTGGGGCACCTGTGTCGGATCCATCACCATTATTGACGCTGGTATAAGCCCTGCCATCTGTACCGATGCAGACACAATCATCCAGATCATCACCTGTGACCTAGCTTTCTGTAACTGAATGAACAATCTTATGCATATTGCATCGCCGTTGATATCAATGAAATTGTTAAGGCCACTACGAAACTGAGCAGCGGGGAAAATCAAGAAGAAGAAGAAGCTCTACGTTCAATCTAGCAAAAGAAAGGCTTTTTATAAAGGCCACAAAGAGCAAACAAGAAAGGCTCACTCCGAAAGAGGAATCATAGCACGGTCCCCTTGGTGATGCTCCCACAAAAGGAAGATAATAAATAGAGCGCCAGCACCACAGAACAAACCGATAACGGTCGAATGGCTCCAGGCGTATTTATGTGCCCCGTACTCAAGTGCAAGGAGAAGCTGAATGGCCACTGGAGCAAAGAAAACGAAGCCGATAAGGTCGAGCTTGTGAATAATGGTTTTAATCACGTCGCTTTTCACCTTGGCGACTTGATCGGGGATTTCGATAGACAGCAAAGCTAATGCCACGATGGCACCGACGGGGAGGTTGATATAGAAGCCTGTTTGGAGAGTACGGTTAACTCATGCTTCATCTCCAAGTCCGGCTTCCCAGGTGCTTACACCATCTCCAGGTCACATATTCTGTAAATGCACCTCCTAAAAGCGGGCCAACTACAACTCCAAGCTGGGAGACTGATAGCTAAGGTTAATTTGCATTTTCGAATTGGCTGAAGATAGTAGTACTCACTACTCAGTATAGCCCCGACCAGTGCTGATACAAATATTAGCAGGACTCAGCAGCATTTTAGACAAGGAGTGCGTACGCGGTGACTTGTGCAAGGGGACGGAAGATGAAACGATGGTAAAAGCGCCATTTGTCAAGCCCGCAGAGCCGATTCCAGCTACGGCTCGAGCAACGATAAGCATCTTGGAAGAAGTAGCTAGACCACATATAAGTGACCCCAACTCGAAAACGAAGAGAAAGCCGAGAAATATGCACTAAAGAATGAGTTAGATCAAGATTCTTAAGTTTACAAGGGGAAAGTTGTAGAACGCAAGTACTTTCGAACTGAAGTTGGTGTAAATCCTCCCTGTCAAAGGCTGCACACAAGCTCTAAGCTAAATGTTACTATTGGGCATGCGGCAAATGGCTTGCGAATGTCACATACGAAGTGATTTGATACGCACTACCATACCACGCGATGTCGTCAAGGGAGTGGAAATGCGTAGTTATTGATGGGATTGCCTGCAAATCACATCAAAGGGAGCTCATAGCAGTAAATAGAGAGGCAACGCACAGTCACGATGATCGAACCATCAAGTGAAAGTAGGAAGCAAGCCATACCCACTGCGCTCACCACCATGAAAAGCTTGATCCCGGTGAGATATTGATTTTGTTCATTTTCGGCTGCTTCCGACCTCTTTTCTGTGGCCTCCTTTGGGGCCTCTGCTAAAGAGCTGGGCGAAGGTTGTAGCATTGGCCCTTTCAAGGGTGTCTGCACATCAGAGGATTCAAATGGGCTTGGACTCCTTCCTTCTTCCATTGCAACGAGAGGACTAGTGTTAGCGGTTACTCTAGCATTAATTGGAAGGATGTTAGAATAGGCAGGCAAACCAATCTAGGTGGTCAAAAATAGAAGGACGGGTAAAGAGAGAAGGATAGAAGGACGGGTAAAGAGAGTCTGCACTCAGCGCACTTACTATATAACACCGTTATTGACCTCGCGGAAGCTTCATATAAATATCATTCAGAAGGAAATTCAAGATCACGACGCTGATAATATTGCCGAGGCTGTAGAGAAATTCCATGGGCCAAGGCGTTCGCAGCTGAAGAAAATAGGATAGACGCGCCAGACTTATTATTCGCAAGGTAAAAACAAAAAGGAGTGATATCCCTAGGTAATGGAAGGGGTATAAGATAACGTTGGAAGCAATGAAATGCTGGATAAGAATGTTCCGGCCTATGTAGATCTTGGTCCATTGGTATCGGCATAAAACTGAGATCTCTGGCAAAGGTTCACTAATGGCCAGGAGTGCCACTCCTTTCCGCTAGGAACCCACAGGATCTGTCGGTGACCTGAGATGAGCTCTTATTTTTGCCCGCAAAGGCCAGACAATACACCTCCAGGGGATTGGATTCTATATATGTTGTCTAAGACCTAATACCTCATCACGCAGCTTCCATTCGATAACTTGCAACCTTCGTACCCACCCTTCTAACCTCGCCTAGTAGGCACGGACACTAACCATCTACCTTGGCAGCACCTTTAACCAAGTCCTCGATCCTTGCGTTCTTGCTTAAAAGTTGGAGCATTGAAACCTCAAGGCCGAAAGTCCTGATTAGCCAGTTCCGCAACTCTCCTGCCACCAGGCTATCCACACCGTATCGTGAGACCGGCATATTAGAGTCAATATCATCAGCTGCTACGCTGAGGAGCTCTGCGAGACGTGTAGTGATGGCTGTCCGCGAGATCTCCAGCTTTTCAACAGGTGTCGACGCATTTCGTAACTGTGTGGCGATCGAAGAGGTGCCTCCTGATGAGTTGCTTCCAGCCGAGGCAAGTTTCTGAGCCCGGTCGGAAATCGCCTGCCTAACTCCCTGGAATCGGGCATTGTTGTACCATACGAGATCGTTCACACGATCATTCTCCAGATAGGGCAGGAAACGGCTCGGCTCAAGCCCAGTTACCACTTGTGCTGGGTACCTGGCGTCACGTCTGGAGAAGGATGATTCTTCTGATGAGAAATGCGGCTTGCAAAGTGCACCCTCCAGGAGCTGTAGAAACTCGGTTTCTGACACGCCGTAGGTAGCATTGCGCTGAAGCATCTGCTGGAACCCGATAGATGAGCTGACAGAGCCGACTTCGAGAATCAACTCAAGGCCGAGAGTCGTGGCAGGTAGGGACTGCAAATGACGAAACCTGGCGAACGAGTCTTGGAATGCATTTGCAGCTGTATGCTCCTTGGCTAGGTGTACCCACTGTTCCCACAATAGAGGAAGTCATCAAGAAAAAGTCAAGTGGGAGACTTTTCGTGGCGTGATGAAGGTTGATGGTGCCTATGACTTTGGGCTCAAGAACATTCTGTACTTGGGACCAAGCGGCATTTTCGAAGAGCGCATCCTGGATTCTGTAAGCACTACACTCCTTTAATTCATGCGACGTTGGAAACTTACCCCTTCCACCATTGCAGCGTGAATCACTCCTTTCACTTGCCGCGTCGCAGCTAGCTTCTCTACGGCGGAAGCCAGGGCATTCTGATCAGCCACGTTGCACTGGATTACTTCTGGGTCAGCGCCCGCCGCTGTTAGCTCTTCCACAATCGAGACAGCTTCAGGCTTGTTAGTCCCAGACCGGGAGAGGAACGCCAGATGCCGAGCTCCTTGCTCGACCATCCAGGCGGATAAACTCCGACCAAGACCTCCCAGGCAGCCAACTAGTAGATATGTGGCGTTTGGATCAAATTCAGCTCGAACTACTGGCCGCGCAATCTTTAACCGGTCAACTTCAATGTGCAATATCCCGTTCGACACCAAAGTGATGCTTTTAACTACTCACCTTCAGTGTGGCAGTCGGATCGCTAAAGGTTATGATAAACTTTCCGGTGTGCAATCCCTTGGAAAACAAATTCATAGCGATCTCCAGGCAAGAAATACAGAAAGTAGTCAGGTGCCGAATGGGACCAATTACGCCTTCGTATATCAGCCCCGTCATCTCCGTCATCATTCTATGATCTGTCAGTTAAACCATGCTGGTCATCGACGGGGAAAATCGGAGCACGTACTTGGAGATAAGCTCTGGTTTTTGTCGATAGATCTGGCCCATATCAAACGACGAAAAAGTGGCGTTTTTCTTGAATACTTCAAGCCCAAGCTTACCACCTCCGAGAACATCTGTTCTACCGACATCGACGAAACGACCCAACGGTGCGATGCATCTCCACATTTCATGCATCAAATCTCCACCAGAACTGCTGAGAATCACATCTAGACCTTTCTGTTTGGTGGCCTTCAGAATGTCTTCAACCGCACTCAGCTTTCGAGAATGAAAGATGTGGGAAGCCGGAATGCCAAACTCATCGACAAGTATTTTGGCTTTCTCATCCGTACCCACTGTTGCATAAATCTCCGCGCCTAGAGCCTGAGCTATCTGGATAGCTGCCATCCCAAGACCACCGGTTGCGGATTGGATCAGGACGGATTCACCCTTGGCCAACCTAGCTAGATGCTTAAGAGCATAGATAGCGGTGAGATAGACCACTGGCATCGATGCGGCACCGTCTGTCGACAGTCCATCGGGTATCTTTGAGACCACAGAAGCTGGAGATCTAAGGTAATTACCCATGTTCCCTGGAATAATGCCGAAGACTCGGTCACCTAGCTCGAAGGACGTCACAGCCGAACCTAGCCGTGTCACCACACCGGCCCCCTCAGTGCTCAGATTGTTCAGATCAAACCGTGCTGTGGCTACAGCAATATCCTAGAATATTAGCAGTCAGGGTTGGCATATATAAAAGACTTGAAGCGACTGAACGGTTTACCTTCATGTTGAGTCCAATAGCTTCGGTTTTTATTTCAATCCAGTCGTCCTCTAGCCGCTTGCTAAAGTCTGGGTTGCTTGTGAAGTGTAGTGATGAGAGCATACCAGGTTGTCGATACCGCGCCTTTATGGGCAGCTGAGTACCCACAGCGCGTTCCTCGATGTTGTCTTCGAACCCATTGCGCAAGTAGAATTGAATCTTGAGTGTCTCTTCTGGCAGTAAACGCTCCACGTGGAAAGCACCTCCTCGAAGCACACACTCGAGATCTACAATCTCAGAAGGCGCAGGCGCTCGCAACTCATTCCGCTTACGAACGATTAGTTCGGCAGCCCTCACTTGTGATGTGTAATGGCTGAAATCCAACTCAATAAAAGCGTATTTTGACGATACGTTTTCAGTGGCGATGGATCTTAACATGCCCTTCATGATCGATGATTCTCTAGGGATGATCAAATCAGCTGCGACCCACACCATTGCCGACACATTTGGGACAATTGCCTGCAGCGCTTTAAAATACGACTCATCACGGCAAGTAAGCATCGAGCCGTTGACATCAACGAAGCTGATGACCATAGAGTTCCGTGGGATTCCATGCCCGGAGAACAGTTCAATCGGGATGGCATTGAAGCCTTGCTTCGCCAAGACTCTCGCCGTGGTATCAGCCAGTAGAGGGAGTAAGTCTCGATAAACTAGGAAGATGTGTGCTCCTTCCATCATCCTTGGAGGAGCATCTGCTTTGATCTCAGGGACCTTCGAGAGCATGACAGTCGTCATTTGTTGGTCTCCCGTATACTCCTCAGTTGTTAGTACAAAAGGCTGGCAGAGGCAACGATATTCAGCATGCTTGCTTACATCTTCAAGAGAAATATCCACTCCTGAGAACCCACATTCTTTTAGAATGTTATTCCACTCAGCCTTCTCCCGGTTAATTCGCTCGTGGTCCCATTTACCCGTCAACGTGCGGGAAAGGACCTCGGAAGCTAACGTTGAGCGCGTAGTCTCCAGCAGCACAAGCGATCCCGAAGGTTTCAGTAAAGGGCGTATTTGCTTCAATGCTGTCTCGGAAGACTCAAGCTTGCCGAGGCAACCGGCGGCGATTATCAGATCAAACGAATGGGTTTCAAACCCTTGGGAAACAGGGTCCTGTAAGGAATCAAGCGTCTGGAACACTAATCCATAATGACCGTTGAATCGTGACTGTGCTTCTGTGACACACCACTGTGCGACATCAGTGAACACATACTCTTCGAATCTCTTCGACTTGGAATTCGACGCTAACATTTCGAGGACAACCGAGGTTGCTCCAGCTGAGCCTCCACCGACCTCCAATATCCGCATTCGCGGATTTCTGTGACCTAGCAGATCTATGACGTGCCGCAGCTGTGAGAATACCCCGCTTACGGAGATCCCTGATGCAAATAAGTCGGTGATGAGGTTGTTCTCCATGAGCACCTTGACACTGTTGGTTGTTCCTCCAAGAACTTCGTTCAGGCTACTGTGCAGCGCCTTGAGGCATCTGGCCTCTGGAATACCGTGCAAGTTTGTCGTCGCCAGCCTTTCAATAATGGCTAGTCTCTCTGCTCCGGTGATTTTCAAGAGATCTTCCCGCTCGGAAGAGCTTACCCACGACTTCACCCATTTCGCGAAGCTGTCATGGTTCTGAGTCTTGTCATGGACCGAGTCGTGACTCAGCTCTTCGTTTATACTTGCAAGGATATGGGCGGATAGAGTCTCTAATTCAGAGACAGTTGATGACGCGATTTCTTTTGGCGGGAACATGGCCTCCGCAATGGCCGGCGTCAAGGTTTCTATGTCGACTCTTTCCACCGGTTGCCAGTACGGTTCACGCACCATGTTCGAAGTGGAAGCGTCCAAGGCTCCATCATAGGATACGCATTTCAGCTCCTCGATGTCAGCAGTGGAGCACCAGACAAACTATAAAGCTGAGCCCGCGCGTAAACACTTCGTTGGCCAAGTATCGTTCCCCTTGCCACTCCCAAACCCTGCTGCTCGTGGGAAGATTCGGGAACCCAAATCGTCATATTGTCAACAAAAATAGGAACGAATGGTTTCTCAAAATTTTCAACCTGACCTGCGTGGCATGATATCAGGGCCAGCTGGATACAGGTGTCCAAAGTTGCTGGATGTATCGTGTACTCGGATTCACCGTCAAAGCCCGCTGTTGGGTGCAGGGAGACACTGGACGTTGTAACATTAGAGCCACGATATGCCTTCAGATCCGACAGGCCTTGGAAGGCCGGGCCATAGCCCAGACCGGCCGCGTAAAAGCTCCGGTACCAACGCGTGACGTCAAGTGATCTCGAACGGGGTTCAGCTTTTAGTTTTTGGCTTTCCTCAATCGAGGTCTTCACGGTGATCACGGAGACTGTCCCAGTGCAATGCTGGGTCCACTCATCGCTGTTTGGTAAAATCGAACCAATGCTGAACTTGTACCATTGCGACATGGCGGCTGCATTCGTTAACGGCAACCTTTCCATATTGAGCACAGTTTCCACACCTAGCTCAGTGTCTTCCACACGAAGCGCCGAATTGATTGCGACCTGACGAAGCTGGAAGGACTTGATCGAAGAGGCATCCTCCGCCTCGCAGTGCAACTGATTGACCGCTTCGATAGCCATTGCAATGTACGCCGCTCCTGGAAGAACGGCATATGGAAGAAGCTTGTGGTCTTCAAGCCAAGGAAGGTCTTTCAAGCGCAGAACGTTTCTCCATTGCGGGTGTGTCCTTGAGCCTCCTGGTACTCGGGCGCCGAGAATGTCACGACGCAGGTGCTTTCTGGTACGGTACTCCTTGTTGAACCGATTCTCGTAGTGAACTGGCGTTTCCGGATACGAATACTTGTACTGGGGCATATCGATGCAAGGGAAGCCATGAGAGATATGAATCTCATCTTCCGTTTTCTCGGTTGCATTCACAGCCACTAAGTTGACTGGAGCATCGTTGATGAAAAGATTGCCAGCAAGGGTCAACATGCTGATTACGTCGTGTTCGCCGCGGCGAAGGGATCCCAGACAAGGTGGAAGGGCCGACCCAGTCTTCTCTAGGCTGGACCGAATCTGCTTCAACGGGCCGCCTAAGGCTGGATGGGGCCCAATTTCGATGAGAATGTCAACGGATCTATCTTCAGCAAGCCTCTCGACTGCGGACGAGAAAAGAACGGGGGCCTCGAGGTTGCCTCGCCAGTAAGCAGGAGGAACCCGTTCTCTTACTTCTTTCATTGTCACCGATGAGACCCACTTCGCAATCGGGTTTGATGGCCCATTCTCCACGAGTGGCTTGACTTGGTCAAGGCCTTGGGTGGCTAGCTCTTCATATGCTTCCCCAAGGGCTAGCATGTGGTGGGAGTGATATGCGTTGCCGCCAGTATTCAGTACACGAGCAAAGACACCTTCGTCACTCAGTGTTTTGCTCAGTTTATCAATTGCTTCCGGTTCGCCAGAAAGGGTGACGCTATATGGCGAGTTAATGGCTGCAATTTTGACGTCACCTTCAATGCCGTCCAAGTAGGGTGCAACTTGGGCTGGCTCCAGACCAACGGCCATCATGAGCCCCTTTCTTTGGTTGGTTGCCACTGCTTGACCGCGGAAGTACGCAAGGACGATGGCCTCGCTTCCCTTCACATACCCCGCAGCATAGGCGGCTGCGATTTCACCTGCATGACAGTTAGACGGCGATCTCATAATGATACTCCCCCTTCCCTCCCAAAACAGATACGAAATCTTACCAGAGGAATGCCCAACAGTAGCCTTCGGATGAATTCCCCATTGTTTGAGCAGAGACACCAATGCTATTTGGAGAGCAGTACAGACAGTCTGCGAGAAGGCCGGATCATGAATCCGACTTGTGGCTGCAGGCTCCAAAAGTGCTCCCTCAATCGTCCAGCTTGGCTTCTTCTGCAGCTTGCTGAGCACCGCGTCCAGGTACTGTATTGTGCGTCTGAAGACTCCAAATTCATGCAATAATTGTGCACCCACTGTGACGATAAGCGTTAGTAGTGAAATTCTATTTAACGTAGCATCATAAAGGTGGGGCACTCGATACAGGCCACCCAGACGAGGGAATGATTCGGAAAAGGGACCTACTTTGTGGCCACTGAGCTCCCTGTCCTGTAAAGGTGAAGCCGATTCGCCGTGCCGGGGAACTCGGTGACTTTCCAAAGATCATTAAGTCAAAGTCCATCGGCTGCTGCTTTGGAATCGACAATGGCAAAGGTACGGCGAGGAAACTTCGATTTCCGGCATCCCAGGGTATAAAGTAGATCAGCGAGATCGTACCTTTTCAGTGACTGGGCAAGTCCCGAGAAGTTGGCCTTTAACGCACGCTCATCGTGGGCAGAGGCTGGCAGCAAGATTAACGGACGGGTCCCTGCTCCTTCAGTCTGATTGAGTTTTGCCGGTTGACACCAGCTGAGCGACTGTAGACTCTCAGCAGAGTTATCATGGCCCTTGGTGCCATTCAGGTGACCATTTCCATTCAGGTGACCATTTCCATTCAGGTGACCGTTTCCATTCAGGTGGCCATTGGAATTTGCCTGTGGTAGCCCGTTTGGAGTCTCTCCACCGGCCTTGGGAAGACCTCGCAGTCAATAGCCAGGGATGACTACGCTTGGGTGGTCTAGAACGCAATGAGCATTGGCTCCACCGTACCCGAAACTGCTCGAATAAGATTGTCAGTGTCAGTGTCAAGCAACCTTTTTTTTTCTTTTAATTCTCATGTCTTGATGTCTTGGGTGTTGGGGGAGGGCAAGGGTAGTGTCACCTATTAACGCTAACTCGTCGAAGCAGGTGGGCAGGCCATGGGGTCATTTCCGTCACAACCTTGGCCCTTGCTCCCTCAAAGTCAATTGCAGGGTTGAAATTTTCAATTCCAATAGTGGCTGGGATTTTTCCGTGCTCCATTGCTAAGACTACTTTCATGATCTGTGACATGGCGCTGGCCGTTTCGCTATGCCCAAGATTTGGTTTGATCTAGACAGACAGCGAGTTAGCATCGGGATTTCAGTCGACTGCAGGTAAGTAGCTCATTATACGAGCAACTTGGACAACACCAAGCAACATACCGATCCGATTAACAAGGGTTCATCTTTCCTCCCTGGAGAGAAGACCCTCCCGACAGCGGAAACTTCGATTGGATCACCCACTGGCGTCCCCGTTCCATGGCACTCGACGTATCCCGTTAGATCTGGATTCGGGCCGCCAGCGGCCTTGTAAGCCTGTCTAATGACAGCCTCCTGACCATCAGGGCTTGGGTGCGAAATACCACCCGTTTTCCCGTTGGCGTTGAACGAGGTGCCACGCACAACTGCGCGGATTGGATCGCCCCGAGAGACAGCGTCGGAGAGCTCTTTTAGGTAGATGGCACCGAATCCTTCTGCCCGAGAATATCCGTCTGCTGATGCATCAAAGGTATGGCAGCGAGACGTGGGCGAGACGGCTCCGAGCTTGGTGGTGAAGATTTGATTGTCCGGTCCGAGTATGACGTTGGCCCCGGCAACGATAGCCGCATCGCAGTCTCCGCTGCGAATCGACAGTACGGCCAAATGTAAAGCGTACATGGACGCGGAGCACGCCGTATCAACCATCAAGCTGTATAAATAAAGCGTCGGTCAGTATAATTTGAGTCTCTCTCCCTTGGGACAAATATTTAAGTCTTGTCAATGGGAACGAACCTAGGCCCTTGGAGGTTGGAAACATAGTTAATGCGATTACTCAAAATCGTGGGACCGCCTCCTGTCACGACGTAGGGTAGTGTGTGATCTGGATCTCGATACTGCATGATTTGGTGCTCATTGTTGAAATTGCCCACAAACACACCAGTCTTGGAGCCGGAGAAGTTCTCGAGCGGTTCGCCGGCGTTCTCAACTGCTTCATAAGTAACTTCCAGCAGTTTGCGCTGGCTGGGGTCCAAGGCCATTGATTCTGTGGCCGAGATACCGAAGAAGCTATGATCAAAGTCGCGGGTGTCTCCGCGGAGCAAGTGACCACCCTTGGTGTACATGCTTCCCAGTCGTTGCCCATTAGGGTGGTAGAAGCCGTCGAGGTTGATACGGTCCTCCGAAAACTCAGACCAGCCGTCTTGTTTCGCTGTCAATAACTCCCACAACTCTGAGGGACTTCCAACCCCGCCTGGCCACCGACAGCCTGCAAAAGTCACGATAAGCGGTGGGAGAGAGAGAGAGTATGTGTGTGCCTCAAGAGTCCTTACCCATGCCTACGATGGCAATTGGTTCTGGGCACTGGGAAAGAGGAGGGTCAGACCCTAGCCGTGTTCCAGTTCCAGCCATTGTATCACGACAAGGTATTTGGATGGATCAAAATTGATAGAATGAGGAGGGGTCTTGTTCTACAGTTGCAGTCAGAAAGTTGAAGCTAAGTAACAACTTTCATCCACGAAAACTTCAGTAAGACTCGGGGGCTATTTGTATATACAAGTTGTACAGAGCTACGTAGAGCGGCTGGTCAACTATCACCACCGTTTCTCGATCCACTGCCAAATCGTTTAGGGATAACAACAAAGGTGGGCACAGGAAGGGCCTAGCGTGTATATTCGCCTCATCGACAGCTACTTACTCGTACATGCCAAGGGTAACTGGCAAACACAGTTCCTTACTCTTACCAAATTGTTTCTCAAGTTGACAATCTTACAACTGCTATCTCATAGTGGACCAAACGCAGAATCTCACCTGCATAAGGGTTTGTACATAGAGGCCTGGCTAAAACGGGAAAATGATGCTGCATTCCGCCACGACTGTTACTGCATGGTGATGCTGAAGATCCATCTATATGCAGTGAGGTACTTATTCTTTCTTTTTGGTTTTATTTCTTCAACTCATACCCCAACGATCTGGGCCCATCTTGCCCCTGCATTACCACAAGCACTGCCCACTGTGCAGCAACCGGCTTGAATTGCCCAGGTATAATGTACGTGTCGATGATCATACTTGCTGCTATCTCTGACCAATTAGGATAACGATGATGGTGGTAATTTTTTGATTTTTTCCCGTCCTTGAAGATTTTTTGTTTAATGATATATGCATACTCTGGCGAGCGAGGTTGTTTGAGTTTGTCGGCTACATACACGATTGGATTTTCTCTGCCTACATACGTAAAGGAGAAATCCACAGGACATTGTGAGTCGGGTGACCTATTAGGAGATTCCAGGGAGATGCAAATCTGACCCAACAGCCCCAAGTTGCATATACGAGCGGAAAAGAGTTGAAGGGATGGGGCTTACGGGAAGCTCTGGCCTCATAGAGATCGCTACCGGCAAATGTAATAGTAAAATACAACAGATCTGAAGGGCCCGGAGACTATAAGTTGGGTCCTGAACTGAATTTTCCACTTTGTGCCCCTAGCAGCCACAGAATTGTGCAGTTAACTATTGCCATAACGAATACCACACACCACTTGCAAAAAAAAAAAAGAACTGGTCCTGAAAATCATGTCCGTCCTCTTCACGGAGGTGCTGCGTTCCAAGCTGGAGCATAACCAACCTTTATTGGCGGCCTTGGTAGCCGTCTTGACCCTTGTCGTTCTCTTCGCCTGGCTGGGCGACTCGAAGGCCGAAAGCCATTACCCCCTCGTGGGCGCTGAGTTGAAGTTTGCCTTTCTTATTTAAGGGAATACGCCAGCGACGGCACTGGTTTCAACAGGGCCCCGAACTCATCCACAGCGCCTTCAAACAGTTTCCCAACATTATTTTCACTCTCCCATCCCTCGATCGCACCTCGATAGTCCTTCCCCCGCGCTTCCTGCAGGAAATTAGAGAGCTTCCGGCATCCATCGCCAGCAATTCTCGTGCAACTTCGGATGTAAGCATTCACCTACATAAATATGCGCGTTTCTTCTCCCTCCAACCCCCCTCCTCGGGGGCCCTCCAAGGCCAAGCATGCTGCATGAACCAGTGGTTTTGACATAGAAACAGGTTTTCATTGGCAATTGGACAACGTTAGATTATGATATCTTTGGTCATGCTACCATCGATTCCATCAAAACCCAGTACATTGCCAAAATTGGGCAACAGATAGGACGAGCTTCAAATGAGGCGGTTTACGCTTTCAACCAACATTTTGGCACATACCAAGGTATGTAGACCGTTATTTACCTTGGATGTTTTTGTCTTCTGTCTCTCTCTTTCTTCTCCCCCCCCCCCCCAAGTTTGGTAGGATGCTTCCACTAACGCGTACGCTCTCAAGAATGGACTCCTACCGCGGCCCAACCAAAGATTTTGGAACTCGTGGCGCAGATGGTGGGTAGCACGATTGTTGGTCCCGATATTTGTCGCGACCCTGATTGGACTCCAGCTGTCATCGGCTACGCACAAAACGTTTTCATGGCGGCCGTTACCTTCAAGCTCGCGCCGGACATTGCACGGCCGCTGGTAGCGCTCTTCACACCCTACATTTACCGCATTCATAGCTGTCGCCGCACCATCAGGAGACTCGTCGGACCAACTATCGAACAGAAGAATGCCTGGTCCCGCGACCAGGCCCAGTCCTGGAAGGCACACGTCAAGAATGACAATGAAATGATGACTCTCGAGTGGCTGGTAGAGACATCCAAGCCGGAAGAGGCGACGGTGCCCATGATAGCGCATCGTCTCACCGGAGTAAGCTTTTGGGCAACTCATACGACTTCAAACACCGTCACCAACGCCATCCTGGACCTAGCCAACGATTTTGACCTCTGGGCTCCACCCTTGCGAGCAGAAATCGAGGGTGTTTTGGGCCAAACCCCATTAACCGACATCACTAATGCTCATCTTTCCAAGATGTGGAAACTTGACAGCTTCTTGAAAGAGTCTCAGAGATTCCATCCGCCCAGGTGTCCAAATGCATTCTGACCAATAGGCACAGTGTCCGTAAACCGAAAGATGATGGAATCCCACGCGCTTTCCTCGGGCGATGTTCTTCCCAAGGGCGCGCACGTTTCCTTTGCCGGTGTGGCCATGTCTATGTCCGACGAGTATATCAGCGGGGCAGAAGACTTTGACGGCTTCCGCTTCGAGCGCCTTCGCCGCAACCCCGAGACAGACCCCAATGGCTTACAATTCACGTCTTCATACGCAGGTAGCCTTCATTTTGGACATGGCAAACATATGTGCCCCGGTCGCTTCATGGGCAGCTTGATTAGCAAGCTCCTTCTGATTGAGCTTCTCAAGCGCTACGACATGAAATTACAGGACGGGGTTCGACCGAAGAATGTCATGTTTTTTGATATGGACATCCCAGACCCAAAGTATGAGGTGTTGTTCCGGGACCGGCAAGGTTAGGCGTCTTGGGGATATTGCAATGTCCTGTAACGTCTAAAGGAGTTGGGGGCAACTGTTGGCATCGATAATGTTTGTTCCAGCAACCAGGCAAACCATCCAAGTTTCAAGCTACAATAGTAACATACTTTGTTTATTCCATTGGCAATGACCACCCCTACCCGAGGGCAGTCGGAAATCCGATATTATTACATCTCGAGACATTTATTTCACGCTGTCTAACCGAGCTCAAAGCAGTAATACTATGAATTTACGGTACGAGATAAGGTCATCACCGTACCCCCGCTGGAGTACGCATCTGTATAATTAAGCCAGTCACATTCCGATCCAAGGTTACTTCGTAGGGGGCCTAAAAGTCCGGCCCTATTCCTGCATTGCTGTGCTCGAATCAAAAATAAGCCTTCCGGGATTCGCGCGGGGGCTGAGTGCCGACGCAGGGGTTAAAAAAGCCAAATTTGGGTAATCTGCCTAACTCGAATATTGGATAAATTCGCAATTATATGGAGCATGGAGTAAGGTTGTGGAGAACGGAGCCGAAAGCCCGACAAGCCGTGTATGCGTCAATTATGAGTGGATTCAGAGCTTAGTGCATGCACGAGAGGTCGAGGCCTCCGTACACGTACCTTTGTCGTCGGAAATCCGGATTTGACGCTTAGAATATTCGTAATTAGGCCAAATCCCCGAAAAACACAGTAGAGATACGGAGGTTGCTCCATTTGCTGGCCAGGGGATCCGTTGTTGTATACTGAGTAATCGACTATAGGTTATACTGGGTGCAGTACAATGCTTTCAGGGGCTGTGCGTCATGCCCGAACCTTTGCCCAGGTGATTTCTACGCGCAAAGCTAAACGCACATTGCTCACCAGGTGCATGGTCTGAAATGATGCATGTTCGGGGCTTTGCGGGAGCCGGGGGGGTTTTCCACGTTCCTACATACATGAACCTCATTGCATCCAGCGAAGCGTTTGGTGACATTCAATTGAAACTAAATGATGACCACCTCTCCGAGTTATGCTTGCCACGATATGCGAAGAAGAAGATCTTTTATCTCATGTGATCTGTCTGTGAACAGACAAGTCCGGTTGGTCATCTGGATTCCAAATTTATGCTCTTTGATCCATGGGGGCGCATACAGGAGTGGATAATACCCTAGCCAGAAGCAGTATATGTACAGGGAAGAAAGACCGACGTTTCGGAAATTGATGCTAATGTTACTAAGAATGTGTAAGTTAGACGTTCAGTCGTTCTCTGTAATCCGACCACAAATTGCACGGGCATCCCACGGAATTTCGGATTCTCGGTGGAAGATGCTTTAGCAACGTGTCCCTTCGCGGTTTAAGTGAAACTTTCCATCTCATATCAAAGTGGACCTGATCCACTTTCCGCGGGGATGTCCGAACCGACAATCCAGGTGCTCGCAAGCGATCCAGGGGATGTAACCTGATCCATGCAGGTTTGCGAACCATGTGGGAGGGACTTATTACGCAACACCCTGGGCTAGGCCATCTATCTTTCCGTGATCGGGAGAAACAATGTCCAATATTCGGAACTAACTAAGAAATACAAAACAAGCAATACCAAGCAATACCAAGCAAAATAAGCAAAATAAGCAAAATAAGCAAAAAAAAAGAATTATTTACAATAACTTAAAATACAAGTTTATTAGTTTTTAACACTATCTTTCAGAAAAGAGGACCCGGGAAACATTTTGGGGCCGTGGCCCCTATTCCATATGCAGTATATGCAGGCCAGGCAGAGTATGGTGCAATTTCTTGATTTCTGCTTTTCTTGGACTTTCCGGACTAGACTTTAAATCCCGCATGCGGCAGATACAAAACTTAGCCAGGTCTACTCGTCGATAAGAAAGATTGTTTACTGCTCTGATGGGGCGTCCCGGAGATCCCTCGAGGCGGTTCGGCATATATTCCTTGGTGGGCTGGTAGAACGGGAAGCGGGAGAGCGACCCATGGATCCTTCTTGAATGGGTCAAGGTGGGATCAGGAAGCGGCCCGAGGGGAGAGCGACCCGTACCTCGATCCCGAGGTCCTTAATGAGTGGGGCAAGGTGGGTTTAGTAAGAGATTGGCGCATGTATATGTGATATTTGATAGGCAGAGGACGGCTGGAGTGACGTCTGTGCGTGCATGGAGCGTTTCGCTGTTGACTGCACCTCGTGTTCTCAGCCTCGTCTTGGAAAAGTCTTCGTGCTCGTATTGTTCTACACTTATCGGTGTACCTTCCTGTTAGGTGCGGATAGGCGCCTTTATCGTTTCATTGGCAATCTGATGTGGGTGGGAAAAGAGCACGTACGGCAACAGATAGGCTGGAACACTTGGCCACGCATGAAGCAACTCTCGCTAATTTTTCGGGCCACGGTATTTACACATTGCATCATAGTTCCTCACCATTCTGGAAGGTTCTGGACTACACACTTTCAACTCATTGCACTCTCCTCAATATCTCTATTACTAACATCCTTTCCATTGCCAAGATGGCTACCACCAAAGCCATCGTTGTGGTGCAGTTGAAGGTTGCAGCGGTCCGCGACGTGCTCATGCCTATAGTGCATGACGACTGGGTGCTCGTCAAAGTTAAAGCGGTTGGCATCAACCCCACCGACTGGAAGCACATCAGTTATGGAGCTGCGGATATCGGGTGCAGGGTGGGATGCGATTACGCCGGCGTTGTGGAGGAGGTTGGGAGTAAAGTCTCCAACTTCGTAAAAGGTGATCGTATCACGGGCTGGATTCATGGCTCGTAAGTATATGCGCACAGTCAATCAATCAAAGTTGGACGACCTGGATCCTGAACCCTTGAGCAGAAATCGAGCCAACCATGAATCGGGAGCATTTGCCGAGTATGCCATTGCAAAGGCTTCCGTCCAGAGGAAAATTCCCGACAATTTGAGCTTTGAAGAAGCGGCAACCTTGGGGGTTGCCATCATGACCGTTGTAAGACAGAGCCAAGCCACATGTCGAGCCAACTTCATTTCAGATATGCTAACATCTTAGCCAGGGACAAGGCATGTATAAGAACCTCCAACTGCCATTGCCCACGGAGCCATGCAAAGAAGCCTTTCCTCTTCTCATCTACGGCGGGAGCACCGCGACAGGCATGGCCGGCATCCAGTTCGCCAAGCTCTCCGGCCTAACCGTCATTACGACCTGCTCCCCTCGCAACTTTGACTTGGTGAAACGCCTAGGGGCCGATGCCGTCTTCGACTACAAGTCCCCAACCTGCGCCGCGGAGATCAAACTGCTGACCAAAAACCGCCTGACGCATGCATAGGACTGCACAGGTGATGGTGCGAGCATCTGCGCGCAGGCCATGTCGGACTGCGAGCCGGGCACCTACGGCACCATTATGCCCGCACACTACGAGCTGCTGAGTGCTTCCAACCCCCAGGTTCACGGCCAGGATTTCATCCGCGGGTACGATACCATGGGTGAGAATTAGTACTGGCTTGGTCAGACGCCAGTCACGCCCAACCTAGAGGAAATGCAGTTTTACCAGTCATTTTTGGCGTTGACTTAGCCCCTATTGCAAAATGGGAGCATTAAGCCCCTTCCGGCGGTGGTGAACAAGAAGGGCAGTGGACTAGAGGGCGTGCTGAAGGGTCTGGAAGAAATGGAAGCGGGCAACGTCAGCGGAGAGAAGTTGGTTTATACCATTTAACCTAGTTACTTAGATATACTTTAGGCTTATTTAATAAGAAATTTTGTTTATATAGCTACCTCTTCATTCTTGGTTATTGTAAGGAATATATTGCCCTAACCTTAATACTACAATGTAGCTATATACGTATATCTTGATGCTCGTACGGCCCATCCTTAGAGGTCTGTCTATCTTAGGCATAATTGGTGCTTAGGGAAACTTCCTCCTGCAAACTCAAATCGTTGGCGAATCTTTCGCAGCTCTTCTGCATCCTAGCATACGCATCGCTCCCTAGAACCAGTCTAGATATCTTGCCTGCTAGGGGACCGGCCATCCCAGTGCCCGTGACGGCCTCGAAGATACGCTCGACCCCCTTCTGGGGATCGCCAGGCTGCTTTCCGTGGACAGTGAGGAACTTACGCATCACCACACCCACGGGGTTATCATAGTGGGGAGCGACCGTGGCTGGGTCGGGACTTACGTCAGCCAACTATAACGCCGGTGAATTAGCACTAATGACATATATCGAAATTGTAAGGGCAAACAAATTCAAAAACTCACCGCGCTGACAAAGTTGGTGCGGAAATTGCCGGGCTCGACAATCAGCACGCGGATGTTATGAGGCGCGACCTCCTTAGCAAGCGACTCGGATGCAGCCTCCAGCGCGGCCTTAGAAGCACTATACAAAGAGCATGCCGGTAGGGGGTCCTGGGCGGCACCACTAGAAATGTTGACAATAGTACCAGAGCGCTGGGCGCGCATGATAGGGAGGACAGCCTGAAGGGTGTAAAGGGGGCCGAAGAAGTTTGTGGTCATTTGGAGGGTTGCTTCTTTATCACTATAACGAGTCAGTTAAGGGACTAGTCGTCCTTATCTTCTTTATATTGGTCGATACGTACGTAATGTCCTCGCAGGCGGCCAGGATGGAGTAGCCAGCAACATTGATCAGATAGTCAATACGACTAAGGGCGTGTATCTTGCTTGCAATGCTGGCTTGCGACTCTGTCATGTCCAACTCAATCACCGAGCCTCCAGCCTGCTCGATCTGCTCAACTGCAGTGGCGGCCTTGGTCTTACTGCGCACAGAGCCGATAACATGGTGCCCCGCACGCAGAACGTGAAGGCACATTTCAAGGCCAAAGCCATTGGAAGCACCCGTGATAAGCCACACAGGAGATGACATGTTGTGCAGAGTGGATGTCAGTTGTGGAATGAAAGAATAATTCTATTCAGGCGTGATATTGAGGAAAGAGAGGAAGGAGAATAACAGTTTGACTGTTGTTGCAGGGAGGAAATGAGGGCTCTGGTGCTTGTGCCCGACTTTATGCGAATCTGACTCCTCTGCTTGGTATAACCGCTCAGTTAACTATCTAGTACCTTGGAACTGTGTACTCCATACTCCGTATATCTCCTCCGCCCGGCCCGCATATTGAATAGGGGCCGCCCCATAATGTCTCTGGGTCCCCTTTTCTGTAAGATGGTGTAAGGACCTACCCCTAAGCCAATCATATTAATTCAATCTCATGGCCTGTACCCATATTTCTTTGTTTACGCCTAGTGCAATGTGGACCCTATTCAATATGCAGGCCAAGCAGAGTATGTTAGACCAACTGTTTCGGGACGATCCGGGTAGTCACTGTCATGTAGAGGATCTACATATGGAGGATGAATTCTTATCTTCGAAGTTACGTACTTGCTGTGGGCCTAAATGGGGCGTCAGGCTAATTTTTTTCTCATTTTTTTCTCATTTTTCACTTTGTTTTTTTCTTTTTCTTTTTCTTTTTGTGTTTTGTATTTTGATTTTATAACTTGATTTTTAATATAATTTATAACTTAATTACATTTTTTTATACATTTAAAAAAGTAACTCAATATACCCTGGTAATATGACCAAACCAAATACCAGCGACTCTTCAAGTGCCCTTCTTTACCCAGGTTGTTAATGCTATTAATTGGAAGTCTAGCAAATTACAGAAACTTGGCGAGACTTACAACTGTATATGCTGTAGATCTGCAGCGTAGAAACAACCTTTCACCTACCAATCACCAACCCCAGCACCCCTAAGTCAGCCAACGGTCACATTCCGTCCTAAACCCTTGAACATCTATCGACAAGATGACGGCTATACAAGATACTCAGGATCCCCAGTCACTCCATATGGATCTCGATACAGACGTCCTGATTATAGGGGCGGGGTTGTCGGGTCTCGGGCTCGCTGTCCAGCTAGTGCGCCAATATGGGCATAGGAACTTTGAGCTGATTGAAAAGACCGACCATATTGGGGGCACATGGCTAGCGAATTCATATCCTGGTTGTGGTGTGGATGTAAGATGCAGAGACCTCTCTACTCTATCCCTCCATTATCTTGCATGGTTCTTTTTATTTCCCTCTCTTCTAATCAACTGGCTGGCAGGTAGCTGCGCATTATTACTCGTATTCGTTCTGCTTGAATCCGGACTGGTCCCGGAAATATCCGTTGCAGCCCGAGATTCTCGACTACCTCAAGGGCGTGGCTGCCAAGTACGATATCGAAAAGCATGCCAGATTCCACTCTATCGTCAACTCGGCACACTGGGAAGAGTCCTCGCGCACGTGGTTGGTAACCGTCACGGATTTGAAGGCTTCCAAGACGTACCATCGCCGGTGCAAAATTCTTGTTTCCGCCGTCGGCATCCTCTCCATGCCGAATGGGTGTGATATTGACGGAGCGTCATCGTTCAAGGGGCCGCTGTTCCATACGGCTCAGTGGGACCACTCATTCGACTGGAAAGACAAGGACTTGGTGGTAATTGGTGGGTTTTTCTTTTCTTTTCTTTTTATTTTGCATATATAGTTGTATGGTTGTATGTATCTAACGCGCAAAAGGGAACGGATGCAGTGCAACTCAGGTCGTCCCGGCTCTCAGTAACGCAGACGACGGGGCCGCCAGAAAAATCACCCAATTCGCTCGTCAGGCGCAATGGATCTTCGAGCGTCCCAACCCACCGTATTCCAGCCGGTTCCGGTGGACTATGAAGTGGGTTCCGCTGGCCATGCGTGCTTATCGGGCCGTGCAGAATTACTACGCCGAGCTCGACTTTTTCAGCTTTCCCACCGAGAGCGGCGCCAGCATCCGCAAGATGTACGCGGACACACAAGGCGCGTATATCCTAAAAGCATCTCCCGCCAAGTACCATGACTTCTTCATCCCCAAGACCGAGGTCGGCTGCAAGCGTCGCGTGATGGACTCGGACTACCTGCAGTCTCTGCATCGAGACAACGTCGAGCTGGTGTATCAAGACCCCATCCGCGAGATTGTCGAGCACGGGGTGCTCACCAAGTCGGGTAGGTTCGTACCTGCAGATGCCATTATCCTGGCCAATGGCTTTCAGGTTCAGAAACCATTACTTTCCCTCAACCTATTTGGAGAAGGGGGCGTTAGTGTTGCCGAACACGTAGGTAGACTGACCCTTGGCCCTTGCGCTGTTGCTGACAAGCCGGGTAATGCAAACATAGTGGGATACGTTCAGTGAAGGATCGGCTTCGTCCTATTTCGGCACCTGTCTTTCCGGATTTCCTAACCTTTTCATCATGATGGGGCCCAACACGGCTAGCGGCCATGGCTGCGTGACGTACACTACCGAGTGTCAGATCAACTTTACTCTGCGTGCTATAAAGCCCGTCTTAAATGCTCTGAGAGCCCAGAGGTCTCGGCTACCCGTGATAGGGTGGAAGGCTGACACGGTAAAGGTGAAGCCGGATGCCGAACAAGCCGACATTGACGCCGTTCAAGAAATGGCCAAAGGTCTGGTCTGGTCGTCAGGATGCACCTCGTGGGTCTTTGACGCACAGTCGAAAAGAAACACCACCATGTACCCCGACTTCCAGTACAAGTACTGGCTGAGGAGTATCTTCATCCCGTGGAACGACTTTGACTTTTCAGTGCCAGTGTCCGGCTCTTCTCATCCATTGGGAATTGAAAGTTGGTTGGCCGTGTCAGCGGTCATTGCTGCTGTGGCATCAGTTTGTATCAGATAGTTGATTTAGTCAACCTACAGGGTATAATTAATGCAGGGATGGTACTCGAAAAATTCAGTTATTTAAACCAGGATCAGGGCTAACTAGTTGAAAACTGTGTAGTAACTATTACACTGTCTATGCCCTAGTTCAATGGAGTAATATCCGTACACTCCCATCGCCTAGACAGCGCCGATGATATCAGACGCAATTTTCTCCGCCAATGCATCTGTGTATACGTCAGTTCAGGAAACGAGATTCAGAAGGCTGCTAAAACTTACAGACGGTGCCCATCGGGTGTCCCGGCGGCAGAATTGGAAAAACAGAAGCATCGACAACCCTAAGTCCCGAAACACCGTATACCCTGGCCTGCGAGTCCACAACGGTCATTGGGTCATCCGGCCGCCCCATCGAACAGGTGCACGCGCATGGAAGATGGTCAGGAAGGTCTCCTTGATGATCTGCTCGAGCTCGGCGTCGGTGGAAGAAACGCTGGAACCGGGGAAGGCCTCTTGGCCGTCGAGCAGGAACGGGCGGACGGCAGCGGTGTGGAAGAACTCGCGCGCGCGCTTGTATCCGGCCACGGCCACCTCAACGTCGATTCGGTTGGAGAAGTACCGCGGGTCGATGATGGGCCGCATGGCATTGTCGGCCGACGCGAGGGTGACGCTGCCGCGCGACTGCGGCATGCCCAGCGCCACGCCCATGGTCACGTAGTCGAAGCCGTCGTGCGGGTCGCTGCCGCCGGACACGTTCTGGTAACCGAGATAGCCGGCGATGGCCAGGTACTCGACCTCGGGCCAGTCGGCCGGATACCGGTCCAGGGTGCGGCGTGCCTCCGTGGACAGCGTGCTGTTGCGCAGGGGCTCCGGAAACTTCTCCCAGCCCAGCACGTCGTTGGACGGGTTGGTCAGCATGCCCGACGCATGCTCCTGAAACTGACGACTGGCTTCGGCGGCAAAGGTGGCATTGGCTAGCGACGACGTAGTCTCGCCCTGGACCCGGTACGACGGGCCAAAGTATACGTGGTCCTGCATGTTCTGGCCCACACCGGGCCTGTTCGCAACGACGGGGATGCCAAGCTTCTCCAGATGCGCAGCCGGCCCTACACCCGACACCATTAGCAGCTGCGGCGAGGCAAACGCGCCCGCTGACACAATGACCTCTTTGGTGGCCGTGAGCACGTACTGGTCGCCTTGGGTGTCAACCACGACTCCGGAAGCTTTCTTTCTATTCGTGTTTTTGTCCGGGCTGAAGATTATCTTCTTCGCCATGGTCAGCGGATACACGGCAAAGTTGGGGTAATCCAGCACCCTGAGCAGAAAGGACGTCTCGGACGAGTCTCGGGTCATGGTCGTAGCGTTGATGGTGGACACGACGTACGACTGGCCGAGGAGAGCGCCGCTCAGAAAGCCGTCGATGGGCTGGATTCCCAGGGCGCGCAGGCCTTCGGTGGCCCACGACGCAAACGAAAACGCATAGTTGGGATAGGATAGCGACAGCGGGCCCTGGCAGTCGCCCATGACCGAGGCGTCGTACGGCGGGCTGGAGTTAGCGAAGCGCAGCGCCGCGTTGGGCGGCGTGAAGCAGATGCTGCGCTCAAAGTATGGTAGCAGACGGTCGAACGTGTAGCTCTCATCGCCCACCAGATCGGCCCATCGCTGATACGACGCGTTGGTGCCGCGCTGGTAAATCATGTAGTTTCTCGCTGACGAGCCGTCCAGGCATTTGCCACGTGCATAGTGCATTTCAACATTGAGTGCGTCCTGGAATCCAGGTTAGACCAAGCTAAAGATATGCGGGCGTATTCATGTTCGTGCATACCTTTTGCGGACTAGTCACATATCCCCAGTCGACGAGAGGTTGCCAGTCATCTGGGTCTTTGGAGATGTAGTTATTGTCTAGCCCTGGCACCTGGCTCTGATTTCCGTTGCCGATCTCGTAGAACGTGCCGGCCTCGACCACGGCGACGCTGCCACTTTGTCCTTCCGCCAGACGCGCAGCTATGGTCAACCCGGCGTTGCCCCCGCCGACGACGATGTAGTCAAACGTCGCATTCTTTCCGGGGATTCCAAATGACGACCCTATAGGGCGAATTGCCCCCGCTAGTGTGACGAACCCAGCTAGAAAGGCACCAACGGCCGTGAAACGGGAAGGCATTCTAACAAGACAGTGTTGGAGTGGACTCTCTCTTACTCAAATTGTCCTACCTAATTGCCATTGCTGGCTTCTTTATAAATGGCCAACAGCTACGCCCAAATTGCGCCTGGGTTGGGGCTGGGGCAGCCATAACCACTAGGCCGAGCATTGTGGATTCCTTCACCCTTTTCTGTTACAAGCGTCTCTTCCTCCGTTTAATTTTGCCCCCAATGGTCTTGGATCTGACTTAGCCGTACCTCTGGGCCGACAGCCTATTCACTGCGCCCCATTTCCTGTCAACAATCGGACCGAAAAACCCCGGGTGCAACGAAAAAGGGAATGTCCTGCCGCTTGCTAGTTTCCTGCCACCTAAAGATTGATTTATCAAAATATAATAATATCATTGAAAACCATGAGATCATAGACTCGTATTTTGAGATATAACAAAGCACTTTGTTTTTTTTTCCATTGCTTATTTCGTATTTATTGGTTGGTTCGGAACATCCATACTCTGCCTGGCCTGTATATACTGCATACGGAATAGGGGCCATGCCCCCAAAGTGTTTCCCGGGCCCTCTTTTCTGAAAGATAGGGTAAAATATAGCGGCTGAGCCAATCGCATTAATGCAATCATAAAGCTTGAACCGGATTGCATTCTTTAGGCCTAGAACAACGTGGACCCTATTTTATATGCAGGCCAGGAATATCCTAATCAGTCAGGTATCCCGAGTCTTGCTGCATGTCATCGCATGCCAGCGCATGACGTACCTCGTTACCTCGCTTATTTTAGTCTTCCTGGGTGTGAAAGAATTTATTAACCTATTTAGCTGCAAACGCATGCAGTGAGATTCAACGAATTGCACAGGATGGTGCTTGCATAGGAGGCCTGAAGTATTTTAACTTGGTAGGAATAAAATAAGGACATCGTCATCGTCAAGCTCAGCAGTCATCAGAGATTTACTATTTTCTTGAATTGACACAAACCTCGTTACTTGTCACCTCATTACCCAGTTACATACTTATCAAGTTACTATGACGGTCACAAAGCATGAAGTAAGGAGCAAACCTTTCCGTCCATCGTATTAGGCCTGACATCCCCCGTCCGTTTGAACAGTCCCTGGTCCTTGGCACGGCCCGCCAGGCTCTCAAGCAAGCTGAAAGGCTTGTTAGCTATCTGGAGCAAAACGGCCTGGAGGAGCCAGACTTCACTTCAAACTCCCCTCCTCATCCCGAGAACAGCGACTACGACGATATCCGAATAAACCTCACTCAGGCGGCCCAGGACCTAACGCTCCTTGCCAACGGTCCTCTGCAATGGATTCGCACTTTCTGCTGCTGCCACCATGATCTGGCCGCCTTTGAGGATTTTATTGCGCAGCTTCTCAAGCATTGTGGGAAATGACCCGAGCTGAAGTCTGTGTTAGTCATGGACAACGCATCTTTTCATCACTCGGAGCGAATAGAACAAATGTGTTCAGAAGCGGAAGTAAAGCTGGTCTTTTTGCCTCCATATTCTCCGGACTTAAATCCTATTGAGGAGTTCTTTGCTGAATTGAAAGCCTTCATTCGGCGAAATTGGCAGTCTTACGAAAAAAAACCCAGACCAAGGATTCGATACCTTCCTCGAATGGTGCGTTAACATCGTCGGTGCAAGGGGAAAGAGCGTAGAGGGACATTTCCGGCACGCAGGCCTGACCATAGAGGAGATGTAAGGCAGTTACTTCTTATGATAAACACTCAACGCGTGGTGTGTCCCACATTTAGTCATTTTCACGGGATACCGGCCTCGCCGTCGACCTACGCTACATTAGCTCTAGCCACGAATGCCCTATACAAATTTCTGCACCATACTAAAGAATAGATAAGTTCCCGCTACTATAACGCAGTATCTAGTCTATATTATTTGCTTTCCAAATCTGAAAATTCTTATCCCTTACGTCCTAATAGCTCTTTATAAGTATAAGTTATGTTATAGATTCATTAACCACGTAATTATCGATTCCTAACTCGCGGCTACGCCTAACGATCTAGCCGTTGATATACTCAATTTCCGTCTCTCGGCCTTTCCGAATATCTTCGCGTATACTACTCGAGTTTTATACTATCTTATTAATCGTGTCCGATAAAACAGTTTTAAGCAAGTTAACTAGGAAATAGGCTAGATCGCGCGGCAAGTTCTAGAGCTCGGGAAGTTTCACGTAAACTATCAAAATTTCTTTAAGAAGGCGGTAATATAGAGGCTAGAGGTCACGGTTATCCTTAATGTCCCCGTTTCGCACGTCGAGTAATGCCGTTAAAGGGTTAAGCACGCAATTCGCAGCCAGCTTTAGCAGCTGCTCGCGAAGAAGATATGGCCACTCCATCTTTTCATAATAAAGGACGGGAGATCTAAGCAAAATATCTAGTAGGAACTAAGGCTAGGAAGGCCTTAAAGAGACTTCTTCATTCCCTATAATACCTAGATAGACCTTGACATTTCCCATGGGCACCCCAGAATCTTCGGCCCACCGTACCTGCCCATGGGAAATATGGGAATTCCCATGGGACTAAAAAAAATTCCCACGCTAGCATAACTAACCAAAAATGGATGGATAAAATGCTGAGTTATCACAATAACTTACCGTTGTTTACACTTGTTTTT